TGTGTCGATTTCAGTCGTTTTCCTTATAACTCTGTAGTAGCAGTTGTCATGTCCCAGTACATCCTAGTTAGTGAAGTCAGTATAGTGTGAACTTTGAAATCATCCGTTTGTCAAAGATTGTAGTTGATTATATCAACTAAACCTTTCGACAATAGAATTGTTATTTTTTCCGTTGTGAACCTTTCATTTCTATGAAGCAAATTTCCAGCAGCACTTGCTTCGGGTGTATATAAGAGACGATATACTATGATTTGCGTTTTCTATGAAATGATGATTTGCTCGATAGATGTTTGAGCTACTCAACGATTGGTTCTAACAAATCGTTCTTCATCGTTCTTGCAGAACATCATATATATTGTATTAAAGTTGAAGTATTTTTTCGAAAGTTTTAAGGGCGTCATCATATTAAATTGACATTTCTTGAATAGCTGTATCATAGCTTGACAAGGCTATATTCAATTTATCATAAATACAATTTTGTCCGTTTCTGTTCCTTACATCAAGGAATGGGAATTATCTCGGATAACAGATATTTTCCGGGAAATTTGCAACACGACGAGTGCCACTCTATGTGCAGAAACTGCTTATTTTTAAGCACATCTATAGTACATTTTTCGTGGGTGATCTCCGGATAAATCGTGGATCTTGTTTCTCAATCTTTAGTTTTCTGCTTAGTGTTTTGTTGCCTTTTGGGTGAGTTCATCCTCCCTTTTGGTCAGTCTGTTGTTAGTTTTTCCACTTATTGTTTATGATTACTCCTTCATATCGTCACTCTTTCATATGAACATTTCTAATTGAAGCTTCATTTAGGTCCGTTACGTTTAAATATGTTTTTTTTCCATTTCTTAAGGTTAGTTTTTGATTTTCTGAATCTATTTTCAATATCTTAAATTTTTCAAATTGATTAACTTTCCCCTTCCACTTCAAATTTTACATGGTCTTTTAATATTGTAAAAAAATCTTTCAATAATTAAAAAAAAAAAAAAAAACAGCCGATGATAACACAGCGGGTGCAAGATATTTAACGAAAATTTTTTAAACTACTAGGAGACATTTTAGCGCAAACATTATAACCCATTTTAGCACCGGATTTATCTGTTCATCCGTGTATTTTTTATAACCCATTTTAGCAAAAACTTACCTGTAACATTCACCATACTCAAACAATGAACAGTAATTTAAACTGGCATAAAGTTTAAGCTGTTTGTATATATAATTTGGTTAAGGATAGAAATACTTCTACTATTACTTTAATTTGAAGTGACCGCCTTCAAAACGTTGAAATTAACGTCAGCTGTACTGTGCATGGTTTGGTGAAAACGTATTTACAGTAAAATTAATTTGACTCTAGTTGTAAGTTGAGACAGCTGCTTTGGACGACTCTACAGAGTTGCTCGTCACAATGCTCAGTGGTTCGTCACAATGATCAGTGGAGGGTTTTTCCAGGTTAAATGTTTACGTTGTTAAATATAAAAGTGCATATGTGATGTTTTTCTGGGTGCTATCATCAAATAACAAACAATAACATGTATCAAAATAAGAGTACCTCAATCTGGACAAAATAAGCAGGAATAGTTCCATTCAAAATTGTATAAACAATATTGTACAGTGTGTGTATCAAGAGCTCACAACGTATGTTTACTGGGATATCAATTCCAATATATAAATAACTTTTGTGTTAACTGAATATTACATTTAGTGCTGCATTTTAATGGACCTGATAATATTTTATGAATTAATTTGTTTTCTCGGGGTAACAATCTGCTCTGTCACACCCTAGACTATGTGTTATTTAATTCATTAGTACACTAAATGCTCTGTCGTTCTTGTCTTTTAAATTGTAAATTGAAAATAATTAACTATGACTTACAGTCATTATAAAAACAACAACAGTGAAGCAAGATATATTTTTTTTTATGTTGACGGTCTATATGAAAAAGTCTGATGCCGCAACGGAGAACTTGAGCATTGTCTTTAAAATTATTGATGCAAATTCAATTCAATGTCCTATAAATTATCGATTTTTGATTGGTCTACACGAGAGGTAACATTCAAAAAATTGTCTCTCGTTGAGCCATGGGAAAGAGTAAATTATCTCCCTCGTATTAACCAATCAAAATCTGACATTTTAACGTGAAGTATAATAACAGTAAATGTCAACTTAGAATAACTGTTTTGCACTTTGTTAAAAAAAAACCCACTCTGATACATGTGGGAGGTTTAGCTATAAAACCAGGTTTAACAAATCATTTCATTCGGAAATGCCCGTACCAAGTTAGGAATATGGCAGTTGTTTTTCACTTGTTCCGTTGATTGATAGCGTTTGATTTTGTCAGTAATTATGGACTTCCCCTTTTTGAATTTGCCTTGGAGTTCGGTATCTTTTGTTATACTTTTTTATTCAAACAAAAAAAAAATCTCTGAAGCTGACATTTTCAAGACGCATGATTTCTTGATTGACAACGTATTTTTACGTTTGTAGGACGTGTTTTCAACAAACAATTGGCTTTCCCTTGGGAACAAACTGTGCTCCTCTTCTGGAGGAATTGTTCCGTTATTCATATGAGACAGAGTTCATACAGGAGCTTCTTAGGGAAAATAAAAAGAAGATAGCATTATCTTTTAACTTCATGTTCCTCTATACAAATTATGTCCTCTCAATAAATAATTCAAAGTTTGGTAACTATGTTGAACGCATCTATCCCATCAAACATGAAATTAAGGACACAACAGATACAGTTGAGTCTGTCTCATATCTTGACTTACAACTAGAAATTGACAATGAGGGTCGATCGAGAACAAAACTGTACGACGAAGAGATGACTTCAAGTGGCCAATTGTGAACGTTCCATTTCTATGTAGCAACTTTTCAGCAGCTCCTGCAGATGGAGTATATATCTCCCAGTTGATACGATATTCCAGAGCTTGCATTTCCTATAATGATTTCCTTGATAGAGGGTTGCTGCTTACAAGGAAGCTATTGAACCAAGAGTTCCAAGTGGTGACGTTGAAATCCCTTCGAAAATTTTACGAATGCCATCACGAGTTGATTGATCGTTATGGAATATCTGTTTCACAGATCTAGATGACGACGGATATATTTTTTATTGTCGTAACCACAATCCCGTCCTTTTTTCCTCGGATGTGACCTACCAAATTAGACTTATCACCGGGTTTATACTTACACGATCAATTGCCACATGTAGAACAGGATATGCTTACCCTTCTGAAGATCCCCCGGTTTTTTGGTGGGGTTCGTGTTGCTCAGTCCTTAGCTTCCTATGTTGTGTTTTGTATAATGTTGATTGTCTTTTGTTCGTCTTCCGATTCTTGCCATGGCAGTTTCAGTTCCTTTTCGACTTTGAAGTTTGAATGTCCCTTTGGTAACTTTTGCCTATCTCTTTCCGAAAGAGAAATTATTCAGAAATAGCATGGGATGTGGCAAAATGCTGTCACTCCAAACATAAATTTTATACGATTTTTTTCCATACCACTAGCCATTGGATTCCGTTAGGTCAGACACATATAAATGTCTCTCGTTAAGTTATATAGAAGAACGTATCTTTTCACGGGAAGCGGCTTCGGTGGCCATGTGGTCTAAGTAGTCGAACTCTCATTTTTTTTTATCTTTTAAATCTGAGAATAGAATATTTATTATTAGAAAAAAATATTTTATATCAGACAATCTTGTTATTAAAGTAACAGATAACCATGCAGAAATATTGTATTAATTTAAACTATACTAGTTGATATGTAATAGAATTAAAATATTTACACTTTTGTTTAATTGCTTGACTGCTTGACTGCATGCAACTGTTTGTTTGTGACACCAGGTGCTGTCTGGTGATTTTTTTTATTGCACAAATTTGAATAAAATTTTATCAAGAGAAAAAAAGTAGTGGAACTACTGTATGACTAGCCTGCCAACACTGATGTTGTGAGTTCGATGTGCGCTCGACTCCAAGTGCAATTGATTAGAATTGTCAGTTTTATCAGTGGTGCCCTCCGGACACTCCGGCTTCCTCCACCAATAAAAACTGACCGCCAAGAAAGATTACAATAGAGCTGAAAGTGGCATATAACATCAATTAATCTTTTCACGGGTAATTTTCAAATCGTGAACATAACATAAAGTGATTTTTTACATCAAAATAAAGAAACATTTATAAAAAATTTTACTTGACGCAGTAAACTTTTCTGATTGTACAAATTAAATGTTGACAATCATTTCAAAACAACTGTTTTTTTCTAAATAAAACAATGTTAAATTTTATCAGTCCGATAATACACCCTTTTGGTCGCTTAGAACGTTACACCGCTCAGCTGTCCCTGCATGCATGATTCTTGTGTATGAATCTGATTATAAGTAATATTATTTCTTCTCTTTCTATGAAAATCCGTATAATCAATCACTGGACAAATATATTTTCTGGAAAACAATTAAAACTTCCTCAATTATATAAGTACTCATTGTTTAGATATAGAAATGATATAACGAGGTTAAAAAATGCTACATTGTATAATCCATACTTAATGATTGTGGTTATAGTCATTTTATGTGGGATACACAGTATTTTATTAGTGATACATGGCTATATACTAGTATGTTCAAACCAAATCAAGTTCACCGGTTTAAACAGACATGACACTCAAGTATTGTATGTATAAATAACATTGCGACTTTAGATGACTGTATTATTTAAAAAATTAGACAACAAAATTAGGGAATTTTTATTAGCCAGGGGTGTGGAAGATTTATTTTTAATTGTTGATAGCATATAATCAAGGATTAGTATATAGACAATACAAATCCTTGATATAATACAATAAATAATGACTAATATTATTAAACTATATGTCTCTGTTGATTGTATAGTTTATTCAATAAAAAAAAACACCACGCCTAACAGACAGCGGACAGACTAGTTAGTCTTAAAAAAGGTTCAGCTTGACGATTGTCTCCCGTTTTCCGAATTCTAAACATTACCGTCTGTGCTTCTAATTTTAGTGTGACCATCAGCAGGAAGTTGTTTTATTTATTATGTTTTTGACAATTTCTCTCTAAATTTTAAATGTTACAGATCACAGGTATTACTTATATACTATCCATTTGCGTAATCTGATAAAAATAGTCTATTCGTAGATTATATCATTAAGTTAACATATAACAATAATATAATCTTTACCAACACAATTATTCGCAACACCTGGTTACTGTCATACTGACATAATTTGTCTAATATATCATGAATTGTAAACGCAGTTTAGAGTTGTTTTCTAATTTAAATGATCGCCGAATCCAAACAGGGATTAGGATAACATAATGGTCACATATTGGTTACTGTCTTAAATCCCCTTATTTTTTAACATTGTCTCTGACATTGAAATTATTGTTGTAGTAATCCCGTTCGAATCCGGGTTTGTTCGCCCCAATCACTCTCGCAACCACACATTCACACCCTACATGTTCACACCCTTCATTAAGATCTAAGACGTCAATAACATGTGGCTAGTGAGTTGAGACGTGGACACATAGACTCATAGTATCAGTCAACCAAATTGTTATGGTGACTAAGACTTTTGTATTGTTGATTTTAGTAATTCATTCTCATAACTCTGTTGGAGCAGTTTTTGTTTAAGAAGCAAACCCATATTAAGGAAGTCCCTATAATGTGAACAGGAAAGATCATAGCGTATTAGTTATCTCAAATTCACTGGCTGACCGGGAAATATGAATAATGAGATGCATTAGCACTCACTGCTGAATTTAGGGTTATTGAGTGGGAGGACATCATCAGTATATCTGAAAGTAAAATGAAAGAATTTTGCTACATGTAGATGCTTTTTCTTTTTGTCTTTGAAAAGGTTCTGTATGAACTCTTCTTCATACATTGTAAGAGTACAAAATCAAATCAGCTAGTAGGGGTGTAAAATATGTACCCATTGGAATACAGGCTGTGTGTTGAAATATCAATCCACCAAACTCAACAAATATGTTGTTGATCAAAAAGTTCAGCATTTTGATGATATCATCTTGCCAATGGATGTATTTGTTGTTGGAATCCGTGTGGTTCTTCACAAAGTAAGATTTTTCATGACTTAAAACAAGCTTAAGGTTCATGTATTTTTAAATCCCATTTAAAAACAAAAAACTCTGTTTAATGAAACGATGCAGTTGATCTTTCAATTGATTATGGGGAATAGTAATGTAAAGTGTAGAAATATCAAAAGTTTTGATATTACTGCAAAATTTTATAAAGATTGGGGTTGAATATTTTGGAGTAGATCTTTAGAATTTTTAAGCATCCATGGCCACATCTGATTGACTTCACGTGCACTGGTTCTTTTTTTATGTTATTACGACAGAACAGAGGACAGATTTTTGGATTTTCAAAAATCTCCTCTTTTTTGAATGATGTACATGTACATGTGGGCAGGGTTCTCACTAAGGCAAGTCCATGAGTCCTGGACTCATCATTTTCAAAATTAATGAGTCACAAGGTGCATCAAGATGGTAAAATGTTGTATCAACTGAGCTCATAAAACATCGGTTTATAACAAAATTTTAAAATTCATCTAAATTGAAGGTAATCTGGTAATTCCTTTTCTATTTTGTCATCATGGTCATGGAGACTGAAATAATAAATTATATAGCAATAAAATTTCATCTTCACATTGCTGGACTCGCCATGGCCAAAAAATGACAAGTCCCTGGACTCACCTTTAAAATTCCTCAGCGAGAATCCTGTGAAGGGATATATTTGGGATTCCTTGTTTTGCTGTGAATTCCAAGTATTTAGTTAAACATTACAAATAATGAATTTTGCACATAAAACAAGTAAAATTTGAATAATGTTCATACATGTACTTGTACATGTGTATATACAACTTGATTTAATAGCTTCTTTATCTGATTGCATTTGCTAACCTAAAATGTTATGAAAACCTTGTAAACTAGAACAATTCCATAGGAAATGATTTTATCTCATTTGATTTGAATATTACACGTATATCATTCCAAAAGGCATCAATGAAGCAAAATCCTTGTTGGAATAAAAAAATGGGTTTCCAATATTTTTCAGTACTTAATCTTTGTATAGAATAATTAACATGCATGTAACACAGTTACATCCAGTATTTAATGTCTCTTCTGTACCTTATTGAAGTAATTCATTGTATTCCTGATACATGTACATGGTTCCTGAAAATTTTTCCAAAAAATTTTGTATCAAAGTTTATGTGAGCATGCTTAAGTTAACCATGTGATCCATTTCCCATTTACCTGTTTACTGAATAATTATTAGGGAGGGGTATCATTAGTGAGCACTAGCTCAGAGTTCATCTTGTTATTTACATGTATCTGTCATGCATTTTGTCATGTCTGTTTCTATTTTCAGCTTTGATTTTCATCTTGATCTTGCAATGCTTTTTAGCCGCATCAAAAAACTTATCATGTAAGTATATTTCTCTTGTTTTTATGATGTAGTATATATCTTTTGGAGAAACTTTTCAATACCTGTTTTACTTTTAAAAATATTAGTTTGAAAAAGGAATGAATAGGGATTAAATGTATAATATACAACAACACATAACTATCCTAAAGATAGTCTTTAAAAACCTTTATTTTGTTATTATATGACCGCAAAAAAATTTTGCGGTCGTATATTCGTATGACGTTGGCGTCGTCGTCCGAAGAGACAATGGTTTTCGCACTCTAACTTAAGTTTAAGTGAATGGATCTCTATGAAATTTTACCATAAGGTTCTATACCACAAAAGGAAGGTTGGGATTGATTTTGGGGGTTATAGTACCAACAGTTAAGGAATTAGGGGCCAAAAAGGGGCCTAAAATAAGCATTTTCTAGTTTCCAGACAATAACTTGTGGAACGGTGTATGGATCTCTCTGAAATTATACCACAAGTTTCCATACCACAAAGGGATTGTTAGGATTTGCTTTGGGGGGTTATGGAACAAACCGTTTAGGAATTAGGGGCAAAAAAGGGGGAAAAACAAGGTTGTCCTGGTTGATTGACAGATACTTTAGTACAAAACATAATTTAAAGCAGTGTAAGGGAGATTAATCAAGTACATCATTTGAATTACCTCCCTTACACTGCTTTAAAATTATGTATAAGGTTACAAGAGCGCAATTATTTGTTTACATTTTACCGGCAAGTTTTTTACCCCAAGATGGTACTCAGAATAGAATACTATACGGCTTCTGATTGGATGATACAGGATTGGAATTACATTTAATCGAAAGCTTATCCAATTAGGTTTAAAAATTGCAGAAAATCATATTCACATTTTAGGAAGTATAGAAAATATCCTCCATTTCTGCACGTCGGAGCCATTAAAAATATGCCTTTTTCATTAAGCGAAAAAAATAGACGATCTTTTTCAACTGCATTTTAAGTCAATTTCTGCCGCATGACCCTATATATTTTTTTGGTTGTAATGCAACACTGGCATTTCTAGTAACAGGAACTGCAATCCGTTTTTCCCTAGTTTGTGTAGTCTTCGAGAAAAAAAATACGGAACACCAGTGGTACCCTATGGAAAATGCATTACGAATAATTGCGCTCTTGTAACCTATAGAAAAAAGACATTTTTTTTTAATAAGGCTTAGAAAAATGTTAAAAATAGTCATTTTGCTCGGAAAAAATGTGAAACAGCGAGAAATTGGGTCAAATGGACTTTTCATTAACGTGAATTCAAGCTATAGTCTGTTTACTATTTGTGTTGATTTCCATATCTAAATCTAGGGTGGGCTCGAATGTCGACAAAGTATGAAGAGAATAGAACGGTTTTGTGATATCTACTGTTTTTATGGGGAAAAGCATGTGTATATCTTGAATTTGAAGATTCATTTTGGTTTTTAACAATAATGATCGTGACTCAGTTGCTATTCTAGCAAAAAGCTAATTTGGTGAAAATTGACCGAAAGGGTCCCTAAGCAAACACCAACGATTTAGTTAAATTGCAAAGTAGAAAAATTAATCTTGGCATTGAATATTGTAGTCCAAGAATAGTTTATCCTGCCAAAGTAGTAATATTATCATATTTTCAAAATTTGGAAAAACTATAGTCTGTTTCAAAAACGTGTTTTTTCAAGAAATGGTTTCATTTAAAGCCATTCTTCAAAATTCGATGTAGCTTTTCCATATCAGAACGGTTTTGTCGACAATATGATCAGTGCTGGGTGACCTTTGAAAAATAAGGCCAGTAAATAAACTTTATCTTCATGTCTTTTTGAACAGTACCGTATTTGGTGAAAAAATCAGTTCAAATTTTTGGCCCGATCGGCGGGCAAAAACTAATTCTTAAAATTAAGAGAGTGATCAGATAATGTTTTAAAGACGTGATTTTATCTAGATAGACGCTAGCGCTTCATTTAGCGCGGGCGCTTAATTTTCGGAATTTTTTTTCATTACCGTATAGGTTACAAGAGCGCAATTATTTGTTTACATTTTACCGGCAAGTTTTTTACCCCAAGATGGTACTCAGAATAGAATACTATACGGCTTCTGATTGGATGATACAGGATTGGAATTACATTTAATCGAAAGCTTATCCAATTAGGTTTAAAAATTGCAGAAAATCATATTCACATTTTACGAAGTATAGAAAATATCCTCCATTTCTGCACGTCGGAGCCATTAAAAATATGCCTTTTTCATTAAGCGAAAAAAATAGACGATCTTTTTCAACTGCATTTTAAGTCAATTTCTGCCGCATGACCCTATATATTTTTTTGGTTGTAATGCAACACTGGCATTTCTAGTAACAGGAACTGCAATCCGTTTTTCCCTAGTTTGTGTAGTCTTCGAGAAAAAAAATACGGAACACCAGTGGTACCCTATGGAAAATGCATTACGAATAATTGCGCTCTTGTAACCATAAAGTAATGGTTAATGAACAATTAAGACAATTTAAAACAGTGTAAGGGAGGTAATCCAAATACAATGTTTTTATTACTTCCCTTACACTGCTTTTAAATTATGTTTAAAGAAATGCATATTTATAAAGGAAGACCAGTAAAAATATCTCCAAATGTTGCATCTTTTTTTTTTTTTACAAAAAAATCCATATGAAAGATTTGACACCATATTTTAAATTCTATTATAAAATAGATTAAGTTAGCACTATGGGAAATTTGAATTGAGATTATGACCATATCTTGAGGGAAAGAATTTTTTGGGGGAAATAGGGGGGAGGGGGTAAAAAGAAATTGTGGGGGGTCAATTTTTTCTCATTTCAGATTTCAGAAATTAAAAAGAATTATTCTTCATATATTATTTTTTTTTCATATTTCAAATATTGAAAAATTTCAAGAAGTAATCTTTAATTGCACAGTATGGCGCATTAGATTTTGTAAAATCTTTGACCACATTTATTTATTTGATATGCCGAATCTAACCGTGTATATAGATTTTTAATTTTGGGTACAGTTTTCAAATTGGTCTACATTAAGGTCCAAAGGGTCCAAAATTAAACTTAGTTTGATTTTAACAAAAATTGAATATATGGGGTTCTTTGATATGCTGAATCTAAACATGTATTTAGATTTTTGATTTTGGGTCCAGTTTTCAAGTTGGTCCAAATTGGGGTCCAAAATTAAACTTTGTTTGATTTCAACAAAAATTGAATATATGGGGTTCTTTGATATGCTGAATCTAGCCATGTATTTAGATTTTTAATTTGTGGGCCTTGCTATCAAATTGGTTCATATTGAGGTCAAAAGGGTCCAAAATTAAACTTTGTTTGATTTCATCAAAAATTGAATTATTGGGGTTCTTTGATATGCCAAATCTAACCGTGTATTTAGATTTTTAATTTTGGGTCTGTTTTTTTAAACTGGTCTACATTAAAGTCCAAAGGGTCCAAAATTAAACTTAGTTTGATTTTAGCAAAAATTGAATTCTTGGGGTTCTTTGATATGCTGAATCTAAACATGTGTTTAGATTTTTGATTATGGGCCCATTTTTCAAGTTGGTCCAAGTTGGGGTTCAAAATTAAACTTTGTTTGATTTCAAATTAAACTTTGTTTGATTTCAAATTAAACTTTGTTTGATTTCATAAAAAATTGAGTTCTTTGGATTCTTTGATATGCTGAAACTAACCATGTATTTAGATTTTGGATATTGGACCATAATAGGTAAAATAAAATTTTTAAAATTTTTAGACAACATTCATTCTGTGTCAGAAACCTATGCTGTGTCAAATATTTAATCACAATCCAAATTCAGAGCTGTATCAAGCTTGAATGTTGTGTCCATACTTGCCCCAACTGTTCAGGGTTTGACCTCTGCTGTCGTATCAAGCTGTGCCCAGTGGAGCATTTTATTTTTAGTTTGAATTCACCTCAATAAAGTTAAGGGGGAATATTGGACTACCCCCTAGTGCCCATGTGTGTATGCAATCTGACCTATATTTGTGTTTTTTTTTTTAATGCCCCTGATGCAGCAGAGGGGACACTAAGCATCTAAGTGTCACCCTTGTACATTTGTTTGTCCGCACTTACATTCCAAAATCAGTGTCAGTTCTCTAACTTGAGTTTGCCTCAACCAAATGTTATGAATCTTATACTCAATGATTATTTCCATAAAACACAGATCAAGTTCAAATTTGGGTGGCATCACTTTGACAGTTCTCTAGTTATATCCCTTTATAATGTCATATGCAAGCGGGGGCATCATGTGTGTCCTACATGTATGGACACATTCTCCATTTATTTTTACTTAAGTTAAACTTCTGAGTTTTATGACTAAGTAACCTACTTATAACCAAATTTATGGATGCATTTATTACCCTGATGAATGATGCCGAATACATTTGTATATATATCAGTTAAATATTGACAAGGTTGAGAGAAATTAATAACTGCTAAAGTTTGGTTTTAATAATAATGTTACCATTTTGAAGTGAAATTTACCTTTCATTGGAAATAACAAAAGATTAACCTACATGTAGTAATGAATTAGAGAATAAAGAATGGTGTTTTATTATTATTTCAGTTTGTAAATATGAGGAGTTAACAGACAGGAAGGGGTCAATAGACATTCCATTCATTCGACCTGCAGTCTATTGTCATCAATGGTCTATACAACCAAATGCATGGGAGGTAATCACTGTCAGGTAAGTTTTCAAGGGTATATGTAGATAACTTGTCAGAGGAATCAGATCAATAAAGGGAGATAATTTGTCAGAAGTGATTTTCTTTAGCTTATTGTACTGGTGATTATCAGTAGATTTTTTCTTGAACAATTTGTACATATTTCTCTGAAACTTAATCTTTATATATATAGGTTTGTAAATAACTTTCCATTTACATTATTTTATAGGTTTTCATTTCTAAAGGTTACAAAAATATTGAAACTATTATAGGTCACAGTACGGTCTTCAACACGGAGCCTTGGCTCACACCGAACAGTAAGCTATAAAGGGCCCCAAAAAATTACTAGTGTAAAACCATTCAAACGGGAAAACCAACGGTCTAATCTATATAAAAAACGAGAAACACTTATGAACCACATCAACAAACGACAACTACTGAACATCAGATTCCTGACTTAGGACAGGTGCAAACAAATGCAGCAGGTTTAAACGTTTTAATGGTACCAAACCTTCACCCTTTTTCTGAAACAATAGTGTAACATCACAACATAGAAAGACACACTATAAAATGTACACATATAAAACAATCTTAATCTTTTTCAAATCATTTGGGATACAAAGTCTTCTGTAATCTATTTCTTTTTCATTTGAACATTTTAATGCACCCTAAGTTTAAATGATTTGAAAATGATTCAACTTTTCTTGTAATATTTCAGCTTTAGTCGAATTAACATAGGTCAAAGGTCATCTGATGGTACATGTGGAAGTAACTACTTAACGATTGATGGACAAAAGCTCTGTGGAAGACAAACACCTTATGTGTACATACATGTATCTGATATATATGATACTAGAGTATTGATAAATTATTACCAGAATACATCTGTAGCTGATGTAGGATTTTCTGCAAAGTATACAAGAGGTATTGGTCTTTTGGTTTAGAATTTTTTTTTTAATTTGCCTATTTGTGATAAGGGATTTGATGATGACAATAGTTGTTCAATCATGTCATTAGAATTAATTACTATAGATAATCACAAGTGTGAATGTGATGTGTTCAGCTTAAGGTGGAAAATTCCAATAGAACTACAGTGACTTCAGAGCAAATTTCCTGTTGCTAGTATGGGATTTCTTTCATTCCAGCAGCAAGTAAATTTTTTGCTGAATATGAAATTTTGAAATTTTAAAAATGTTCATGAAATTAAAGAACATATGTACTGCTAAAGAAATGATTAAGATATATCTTAACAAATTTCATACAATTTTTGTCTCGCTTTGATAGTCAAAAAGCAAGACTCCAGTACAAAATGTATGCTGTTTCCAGCAGCGGCGGCAACAATTTGTAAAAGTTTGTGATTATGTCAGTTTAAGAAGAACCACTTATGCAGTTGTATTTATATTGGCACATCTCATTTCCATGCAGATTGTTTTGCCCTGCCTCCTCAGTCTTGGTCTATTGACATGTAAACTTTTTCATAGTTTACATGTTAAAGTTTGTAATTAAGTCAATTTATGGATAACCACTTATAATACCTTAATGATATTTGTTATGCAGTTTTATTGTAGAGCCTGCGACTTTTGTTGCAGAAAGCTCGACATAGCGATAGTGATCAGGAGGCGGCTACGACGGCGTTAGCTTACTTCATAAAAGCTTTATATTTTAGAAGGTGGAAAACCTGGATGCTTCATACTTTGTATATGGATGCCTCATGTTACAAAGTTTCCGTCAGTCACATGCCCAATGTCCATGACCTCATTTTCATGTTTCAGTGACTACTTGAAAAAAAAGTTAAAAATTTTTGTAATGTTAAATTCTCTCTTATTATAAGTAGTAGGATAACTATATTCGGTATGTGCGTACCTTGCAAGGTCCTCATGCCCGTTAGACAGTTATAACTTGACCTCGACCTCATTTCATGGATCAGTGAACAAGGTTAAGTTTTGGTGGTCAAGTCCATATCTCAGATACTATAAGCAATAGGTCAAGTATATTCAGTGTATGGAAGGACTGTAAGGTGTACATGTCCAACTGGCAGGTGTCATCTGACCTTGACCTCATTTTCATGGTTCAGTGGTTATAGTTAAGTTTTTGTGTTTTGGTCTGTTTTTCTTATACTGTATGCAATAGGTCTACTATTTTTGGTGTATGGAATGATTGTAAGGTGTACATGTCTAGCTGGCAGGTGTCATTTGACCTTGACCTCATTTTCATGGTTCAGTGGTCAAAGTTTTTTGAGATTTTGAGTTTTGGTCTTTTTTTCTAATACTATATGCAATAGGTCAACTATATTTGGTGTATGGAAATATTTTATGATCTATATGTCAGTTGCGCATGTTTTATTTGACCTTGACCTCATTTTCACAGTTCATTGCTCAGTGTTCAGTTTTTGCGTTTTGGTCTGTTTTTCCTAAACTATAAGCAATAGGTCAACTATATTTGTTGTATGGAAGAATTGTTAGCTGTACATGCCTGCCTGGCATGGTTCATCTGACCTTGACCTCATTTTCATTGTTCATCGGTCAATGTTTAGTTTTCTTGGTTAATGTTAAGTTTATGTGACAGTTGTAATAAAGCTTTATATTTAGGACTATCAACATAATATCAATGATTAGTAAAGAAGGCGAGACATTTCAGCGTGTGCACTCTTGTTTACATTGGCACATCTCATTTCGATGGAGATTATTTTGCCCTGCCCACTCAGTCATGGTCTATTGACTTTGAAACTTTTGCATAGATTACACATTAAAGTCATATAAAACTTCAAATTAAAAAAAAAGTTAAATATGTTTGATATACATGAATGGCTATGTTTTACAAGAAAACAAGTGTATGTGAACTTTCTTGTAAAAGAAATTCTTTATATCATCAAAATCTTCATTCAATTTGCTGATATTGTCCTGTATGCAGTGACCTGAACTACTAAACCACTCGTTAGAACTTCGGCCACCGCACAGCGCAGGTGCGAGGGGAACACCGTAATAAAAGAATGTAAACAACTTGCACTGAAAGGTAAATCAGAATAACTGATTCTTAAAGAACAAATTAGATACAGCAAATCATTTAACAACTGTTAAGGAAAAGTTTAGTTAACAAATGCCTGGAACATATAAAAAAAAAATGTCATGTCTCTATCCATTCACTTATTTGTCATGTGACTAATTTATCAATGTCACGATCTGATAAACTTCAGCAACAAACTCGTAAGTTAGTTAGCTTGTGATCAACAATCACTGAATGAAATATTATCTTTAATGCGTTAAAGATTTATAATAAATATAAAAAACGTGCATACAGGACTTAGTTTAGTATATATGCATGATTAGTTCAATAATTTCGATAACATTTAAATTACAAGAAACTCATTTCATCATGTTCATTAGACTTTAAAGTTTGTGATTAGTTCTGTTTAAGGGAAACCACTTATGATAAGTTAATGATATTTGGTATGTTGTTGTATCAGCATTGGCATATCTTTGGCATAGGAATTATTTGGCCCTGTGGGTTTAGTCATGGTTCATTGACTTTGAATATTTTGCATAATTTACATGTGAAAGTATTGCTTTTTTAATTTCAACATTTGCATTTTAATACTAAAAATGAGATAAAGTTAGGAAATCACTCAAAATATTTAAGAATGTTTCAAGCTTAGTTTTTAGTCCCCTACCGACGAAGACGAAGGGGACTTTAGGTTTGCACTCTGTCCGTGTGTCTTTCCATCCGTCAGTCCAGCAAATCAGTTTTCCACACTTTTTTTCTTCATGCTTGAAGATATTGATTTGATATTTGGTGTATTGTTTTATCATGACAAGTTACAGATCAAGTTTGACTTTTGTTCCTGTCTGACGATTTTGTGCAGAGTTATGGTTCTTAAACTTTGAAAATTCACTCAAATAATCAGTTTTCTGTACTTTTTTTTTGTCATGCTTGAACATATTGATTTGATGATTGGTATATAGTGTTATCATGACCTGTTACAGATCAAGTTCGAAGTTTGGCTCGGTCTAATGATTTTGTGCAGAGTTATTGTCCTTGGACTTAGAAAATTCACTCAAATAATCAGTTACAGATCAATTTCGAATTTTTTTCCGGTTTGATGATTTTGTGCAGAGTTATGATCCTTGGACTTAGAAAATTCACTCAAATAATCAATTTTCCACATTTTTTTTGTCATGCTTGAAGATATTGACTTGATATTTGTTATATAGTTTACACCATGACAAGTTATAGATCAAGTTAGCATTTTGTTCCAGTACAATGAAGTTTTAACTGGTAGGGGACTTTGTATTGCCAGGCAATACTCACAGAATGCTTGTTGAAAATGAATTTTCTCATTAAAGAATTTTACTATGATTGCAATCTTTGGGGTCAAGCAATAGTTCTAATAATACAAAACTTACTTCTATAAAGGCTGATCTTGAATGGAAGATTTATCATTGAATTTGTTTTTTTAAGGTGACATGTCCTCAGTATGTTTGGAAGATGAATATAAATGTTCCAATGGAAAATGTATCTATGAAAGCTGGAAGTGTAACGATGCGGATGAATGTGGTGATAATAGTGATGAGATTGACTGCTTAACAAGTATGTTGAGATATTTTTTACTGTGAATCAACTAATTTTTCACCAGCAATAAATTTTTGGTAGAAATTAAAATATTCAAATAAAAATCGTCATGAATATATGTATAACTTGGGCCTTCCTTAATATAAAAACTTTAAAGAAAATAAGAAAACTTGACAACAAATCAATTTTAATTCGGCTTACAAGGACTAATCCCAAAAATAAAGTAAAAAGAATTTACTTAGTACTTACACAGGACAAACAAAGAGAGTGTGCAAAAATTGTCATTGAATGTTCCCACAGAATGTATTGTATTGGAGGGGTTGTTTGTTTCAGCTACAAAAGTGCCAGTGCTGCTTTTAATTTCACTGATTAAAAAGCATAATTATTGAGATCCACTTGTTTCTTTAATTATATATCTGTGAAATAACAAAGAAGTAGGATATTGACTTTCATTCTATCTTTATAGAAAAGACAACAAGTGCTCCTACAACAACAAAGCAACAACAATGTGATCCTGGTGAGATAAGGTGCAGATCTGTAAATTGGTATGATACGGAGTATATATGTGTAGAACCAATGTATCAGTGTGATGGACGTAACAACTGTAGGTATGGTGAGGATGAATCCAGCTGTGGTAAGTGTTAGTTACAGAAAATATCAATTAAGGTATCAGGTACCAGTTACAGTAAAGTTCCAGCATCAGTTACCAGTTTACACATTAGTATTCGTTACCACTTACAGCAAAAACATCAATTACCAGTTACAGCTAAATATCAGTAACCAGCTACAGCTAAATATCAGTAACCAGTTACAGCTAAATATCAGTTACCAGCTACAGCAAAAATATCAATCACTAGTTACTGCAAAAATTCTAGTTACAGCTTATTGTCAGTTATCAGGTTGTACTTATGTTGTGCTGTTATATCACTATCTCAGGTAATAGAAGAGTTGAGTGCTTGCAAAATAAGTTTATCCTGGAACATTCTGTATGTGCTTTTCTTAAGACAGGAGCCTGTAATTCAGTAGTTGTAGTTGGTTGTTGCTGGTCATATGTGTTTTGTCATAAAACAGGGCGTTATTTTTCTACTTTAAATTTTATCATGTCAATGCCTTTTAATGGCTTACTATATGGTATGTGTTTTGTTCATTGTTGATAGCCATGTGGTACCTCATCTTCTTATTTTTATATAACAGTTATATGCAGGATTGTTTACCACTATAGATTTTCTGTATATTACATGGATTTTAAATGCAAAATACGGACCACAGATTTTATTCATGGAGGTACGGTTTCTGGTTCATTTAAAAAACTTTATGTTTTTTCTCACCAAAGTGCTTGAATGAGCGATGTAAGAGACCTATATAAAACACAATAAAGATAGAGATTTCAGCACCTTTCGGAACACCTCTAATTAATCTTCTGTTTTACTGATCATTCAAAGTATGTAACTGTAGATTAGAATTATGAAAATATGTAGGCTATGAAGTGGGCAGTTCATTACTTGCGTTGCTACTATATACTGAGAAAATACTGAGAAAATGGTTAATACAACTGATAGACTGAAATAGGAGTAAACACCTCTGTCACAAGTGAATACATACATAATAAGTGCATACATACATAGCAAGTGCAACCATACATAACAGGTGTATACATACATAACAAGTTCATATATACATAACAGGTTTATACATATATAACAAGTGCATAGCTACAAAAGTGTTAACATACATACATAACAGGTGTATGCATACATAACAAAGTCTACAAACATAACAAGTGTATACATACATAACAGGTGCATGCATACATATCAGGTGCATGTAACAGGTGCATACATTCATAACAGGTGCATACATACAAAACAAGTGAATACATACATAACAAGTGCCTACATAATATGTGTATACACACATATAAGTTGTATAGACACATAACAGCATTAAAAGGTGTATACATACATACCTAGTAAAAACATAGATAGCATGTGTATAGTTTTACATGCATAACTAGTAAATACCTACGTAACAGGTGCATACATAATAAATGTGTATACCTACAAAACATGTGCATACATACTTAACAGGTGCATACATACATAACAGTTGTATACATACATGACAGGTGCATACATACGATACATAACAAGAGCATACATACATACCAGTTGTATACATACATAACAGGTGCATGCATACATACAGGGTTTAAGCTAGGATTTTGAGGGCTTTAGTCACTTTTGCGCGAGATAAAAATCAACACTATTTTGGGTAACAGCAAGGGACCAAGGATGTATGTATATTACTTACTATACATCTTTGTCAGACTTTGAAGGACTAATTGCAGGATCTGACTGATGTGTCACTTAAATATGAAGATTATGATATAAGATCTGAAAATCTAGTTCAAAATTTTACTTCAATTAGTTTCAGGGGACATTCCTGATCAACAAAAGTTGGATACCTTTTTTTATAAAAACCAGGAATCACAGTATAAATGAACTTGTTGAACTTTGTAAGACTATTACACTGCATAATCATTATCCTCATAAGACTTTTAAATCGATATTTTTAATTAATTTCTATAAAGTTGGAACCAAGGATTTGAACAAATTAACATGGAACGATTCCAATAACTGTAAATTGTAAATTAATTGAGAATTGATCACGTTTACTTTCGATTTTCAGATGAAATGTAAACGGGAAGTGACAAGTAGATAATAAATTCAGTATGAATCCGGATTCATCTACGGATTGGTTCGTGTTTAAAAAGACAGGAAATTATCATTTTTTTATTTCAATTTGTTTAATAAGAACTATATTTGTCTCTCTCATTTATTTTGGCACTAAATTTATTTCGAATTTTACGTTTTAGTGTCTATAAATTCATAGGAATACTTTTACGCATGCGCAGTATATCGTAAAAGAAGCACCTGTTTGACTCGTTGATGATGATGGAAATTTTTAACGTGAAAACATTTCTGAACGTTTTGAATAAAGTTCTATCTTTTTAATCGAAATTGAATGTTTTATGTCAAAGATGACGAAAATACGATCATCTGACGAACTGCAAGTTATAATCGTTTTAGAAATGTTGAAATTAAAAAGTGAATTGTCCGGGGGAAAACAATTTTGTTCAAATGACGAAACTACGACAAGCGAACTGCAAATTGTGGTCGTTGGCCTTGAGAAATATTGAAATTAAAATGCAGACTGACTAATTTTACTGGGGAAAATAATTAACCGGATTAGTGACCCATCCGATGGCGATAAGTGGATAAGCTGTAAGCACAACTTTATAACACCTGTTGTAAATGTTAATTACCTGAGGGTCATAAACTTGTCAGAAACATGTAGACAGGTAGAATTATAGCATTTTCATGCGAAAATAGTTTTACACTTTCCAAATTTAAGTGACGAAATTGATTTGAAATACTTTCGTCATTTTGAAAACAGTTTCGTAAATTACGAAAGAGACGAGCACTAGCAAAATCACTGATACATATCAGGTGCATGTAACAGGTGCATATATACATAGCAGGTGCATACATACATAACAGGTGCATACACACATAACAGGTGTATACATACATAATTAGTACATACACATAAAATGTACATATTAACATATCAGATGTATACATTCATAACAGGTGTATACATAGTGTTTCCTACAAGAGGTTTTGGCATTGTATGGCTACCTGCCGTTTTTTCTTGATGCCCTGCCCTTTTTTTTTGAAAAAAAATTGGCACCATCCTTCTTTTCTGTTGTATTGTACGCCCTATCGTTATTTAAGATCGGTTCTGCAATATATCTTTTAATAAGACCATTTAGAGTTTCAGTTGACTCTCGTCTCGAACTAGGTTGACTCGAAATTTCAGGTGAGGCTAAGTTTTCCTGTGGTCCCTAACTTTGATCCATATAAATTTACTCCTGATGAGTCGAAATTGGCAGACTCTAACCAAATTTATAGTCCCAAGGTTAACTAAAGCATTCAAATTGCATTATTATCTCAGACTAATAAACAAATGGATTGAAGAGCTCTCCTGACAATACACGTGTAATTAAATTTCCGGTCACTGACCATTCTATTGATTTATGACCTTCTTCTTATCAAAAGTGCCTCTGAGAAAAAAAAATACCTTGCCCTTTTTATTCGACCGCAAAAAAATTTTGGGATCGTATAATGGTATGATGTCGTCGTCGTCTTCGTCCGAAGACACATTGATTTCCGGACAATAACTTTAGTTTAAGTGAATGGATCTCTATGAAATTTTTTAAGAAGGTTCAATACCACAAAAGGAAGGTTGGGATTGATTTTGGGGATGATGGTCCCAATCGTTTAGGAATTAGGGGCCCAAAACAAGCATTTTTCTTGTTTCAGAATAATAACTTGTGTATAAGTATTTCGAATGCTCTGAAATTGTACCACAATGTTTAATACCACAAGTAGAAGGTTGGGATTCATTTTAGGGGTTATGGGGCCAACAGTATAGGAATTAAGGGCCAAAAAGGGGCCAAAAACAAGCATTTTTCTAGTTTCCAGACAATAACTTGTGTGTAAGTGTATGGATCTTTCTGACATTGTACCACAAGGTTCCATTTAACAAAGGGAAGGCTGTGATTGAGTTTGGGGTTAATTGCCCCAAACATGTAGGAATTGGGGGCGAAAAAAGGGCCAAAAACAAGCATTTTTCTAGTTTCCAGACAATAACTTGTGTTTAAGTGTATGGATCTCTCTGAAATTGGACTACAATGTTCCATACTACAAAGGAAAGGCTGGGATTGAGTTTTGGGGTTATTGCTCCAAGGGGGGTTTCAAAAAGTTGGGGGGGGGATTTTTTTTTCCAATTTTTTTGAGGGATTTATATTTTTTTTTCAAAATTTTTCAAATTTCGAATTTTTCAAAATTTTCAAGAAGAAATCTTCAATTGCACAGTATTGCGCAATAGATTTGTAAGATCTTTGACCACATTTGTTTTGTGTCAGAAACCTATATTATGTCCAAAATTTGATCACAATCCAAATTCAGACAGTATCAAGCTTGAATATTGTGTCCAAATTTGCCCAAACTGTTCAGGGTTCGACCTCTGTGGTCGTATCAGGCTGCGCTCAGCGAAGCATTTTATTAAAAGCTGAAGGAAACACTTATACATTTATAATAATTGCATATATTCATAACAAGTGTGTAGATGCATAGCAAATGCATACATACATAATTACTTGGTAAGATGCTGGTCCAAATGAATAGTGAGAAATATGCTGACCACACAGAATAGGGAAAAGATTGCTTTGACAATAAACGCTTATGTATTAAATCAGAATTAATGTGAATCATGTAAGAATTTTGAGGACTTAAAGTGAACAAATAGACTAAATAAAAAGAGAACAGAGAAAAACAACTCATATTTAGTCAATAATAGTATATTGCTGAAGTAAAAATTAAACACTGTGCCACATTATCCATGAAAGAAGAGTTATTTCCTAATCTACCACACTGTTGTTAAATCAGTGACATGAAATATATATGTTGTTCAATGATGCAATGAGTTTACCCATCATCATTGAGGGTCTTAAATTCTTATTTAACCAACCAAAAAAAGAAATAATGAGGGTATAGATGTGTGTGCTTGCAAGCATTTATTCTTATTTATGATGTTATAGCTATGACTTCCCTTGTGACATAATAATTTCTCTTTTTTGCAGCATACAAAACCACAACAAAAAAACCTGTGTGTGACAGATCGCAGATTTTATGTCGTCCAATCTATAACCATCAAAGAGATGTATGTTTAGACAGTAGCTTCAAATGTGATGGAAAAGTCAATTGTTTAGGAGGGGAGGACGAAAACAGTGACTTGTGTGGTAAATATTACGGAAAAGTCTGTTATTATTGTGGGGAGCATAAAGTCCTATGTGAAGTCGAGGCTTATGGTTTGGACTACAATCAAACCTGTATGAAGCAGTCACTCTTGGGAAGTATTAAAAGTGACCGCTCAACATGCTCAAGAAAGGTGACCTTTAAAAGAGGTTTCTGAAAAATTCTGATTCTGACATTGCCTGCGGCAAATTGTTTTAGTGTTTTTAAGCAGTAGAGATATCATTTTTTGCAATAGTTAATTGAAAAAATGGCAGATTTTGGCGTATAAAATTGGAAGAACTTTCTAAAAATGATAGTATTTGTGGAGAAATAATTTGGTAATATTGTTTTCAACAGAAACTGAAAGGAGTAGAACATGAGGAATTTACAAATTCACCCCCTATTGCACAATTTGGTTGCAAATGGGTTCCCATTCTCATTTTGACTACAATGTTTTTTTTGTCATACTTATATTGCTAGTTTTAAACATTTACCAGTAATCGACAATTTTGTGCAAAAGTTAGGTGACCACTGACCACATTAGATGGGTGACTGCTGAAACCATTTAAATTATATAGAGAAAACTTTTGTGAGGGTCTGAAAGTGACCATTAGAGACAGGTGACCGCAGAAACAAGTTGACCGTTATGGCAGATTTGACTGTACTTAAACCTATGAGAAATATTCTTTTTTAAAAAATACTGAATTAGTTGAAACAAATTCCGACTGTGTTAGCTGTGATGGTGTCAGGATTTCATTAATTTAAAGTTTTACTTCTACCCCAGATAATTTTAGTTGTGATGTTCATAAGTTTTTACTTTATTCTAGGTTATACTACTGTCCAAGATGGAGTTGGCTGTCATGGAAATGACATTTTATGTAGATCAACTAGAACATGGGGGACAGTTTGTTTGAAAGAGAAATTTATATGTGATGGAAATAAAGACTGCTTCTATGGGGAAGATGAAGAGCAGGCTATCTGCAGTAAGCAAATATTTATTTACTATTTGGATTTTACCTAATTAGCATGATAAGGCTAATTCATTCCAGGAATCACAGGAATGAGGATCCGAAGGCACTTAAGAAAAATATTTTAAATGGTTGCATATTTTTTAGTAATGCACCATAGAAGGTAATTATTTGAATTGAAAGTGTTTCACAATTAATTAGGGAATGATGTATTTAAAGCCCTTTGATATACAAAAGAAGTGTTCAGGGTGTTCTTTAAGGTTTGCGACAAGTAAGGCCAGAGCATAACAATTATATGGGATTTACAAAATGAGAGACTGATCCCAAGTTTAATTGTGGATAAGTCTTGTTCATTTTCCACAATTGCATTTCCTGTGTTAAAACTAAATTTTTTTCTCTGTTAGAACTGTTTTTATACACCGTCAAAAATTTTGACGGGACGTATTATGGTATACAAATGTCGTCTGTCCGTCTGTCTGTCCGGCGTAAACATGTCGCACCGTAACTTGAGAACGACTTATCCAAATTTCATGAAACTTAACATAGTTGTTTCTTATGATAGTCAAACAATCAGTATACTTTTTGGTGAAAATAAGATTAAAACTTTTTTAGTTACGGGACTTAGTAACTAAAACAGGTGTGTGTTTTTTTTCACATGTCGTGCCGTATCTCAAAAACAATTTATGATTATTGCTTAAAACTTTACACCCTTCTTAGTTATATTTATCTTAAGATCTGTATACTTTTTGGTGATGATTCAAAATTTTATTTTTGAGTTATTGAGTATTTTGTAAGAAAAGGGGAGGGGTTTTTCACATGTCGTGCCATATCTCAAAAACGATTTATGATTATTGCTTAAAATTTTACACACTTCTTAGTTATATTAATCTAAAGATCTGTGTACTTTTTGGTTTTGATTCAAAATTTTATTTTAGAGATATTGAGTTTTTTTGTAAAAAAAATGGGGGTTTTCGCATGTCGCGCCTTATGTCAGAAACTATTTATGATTATTGCATGAAAATTCACACACAAGACGACGGGCATATCATGCGCTCATGGTGCAGCTGTTTATTGAGGTTGAAATTGTCAACCAGATTTATATCATTTATATTAAAAGATCAATTTGAATACCTAGAAAATTGCTGCTAATACATAGAATTTCAGTCAAGAGTAATATTTGGCACTTGTAGATGTAATTCGCTAAGACAGGAATGTTTTAAGCAGGGTTTTCTTCACATGTTGGCTAGTAAAACAAAGGACAAGGGTCACTTTAGGCCAAATATGGCCTTGAAATTCAACTTTATCATAAAGTATCTAAATTGCAAACATTTTGTTCTTAAATGGGTCTATTTCAAAAACCTTACTACTAGGTGGAATAAATCTCTTCATTTGAGTACATTCTAGGCTTCAAAGTCAGCACATTTTGTATATATTGTCAAAAAACGATGATTTTGGGCATTTTTTGGATCTTCAGGAAACCCTTGGCCGCAACCTAGGATCCAAAATGTTCTGTAGCCAAAAGTTGCCAATGTCACAGGGTTGGCAAAGTATTAACCGGGCGGGAAAACCCGGTCTGGGTTTTCCCGTGCTGGGCAATACTCCCAGAAACAGGTAATACTGGGCAACACTGTGTAATATGATTTTAGAAGCTAGAAGACCTAGAAGCTTCATACTTTGTATATAGATGCCTTATTTTACGAAGTTTCCGTCTGTCATATGTCCATTGTCCTTGACCTCATTTTCATGATTCAGTGACTTCTTGAAAAAAAAGTCAATATTTTTTGTAATGTTAATTTCTTCCTTATTATGAGTAATAGGATAACTATATTTAGTATGTGCGTACCTTGCAAGGTCCTCATGCCCGTCATACAATTTTCATTTGACCTCGACCTCATTTCATAGATCAGTGAACAAGGTTAAGTTTTCGTGGTCAAGTTCATATATCAGATACTATAAGCAGTAGGTCTACTATATTTGGTATATGGAACAATTGTAAGGTGTACATGTCCAACTGGTAGGTGTCATCTGACCTTGACCTCATTTTCATGGTTCAGTGGTCAAAGTTAAGTTTTTGAGTTTGGTCTTTTTTTCCTATACTATATGCAATAGGTCAACTATATTTGGTGTATGGAAATATTTTATGATGTACATGTCAGTCTCGCAGGTTTCATTTGACCTTGACCTCATTTTCAGGTTCATTTCTCAGTGATAAGTTTTTTGTGTTTTGGTCTCTTTTTCTTCAACTATAAGCAATAGATCAACTATATTTGTTGTATGGAAGGATTGTAAGGTGTATATGTCTGTCTGGCAGGTATCATCTGACCTTGACCTTATTTTCATGGTTCATTGGTCAATGTTAAGTTTTCATGGTTAAGTTTGTTTCTTAGATACTATAAGCAATAGGTCAACTATATTTAATGCATAAATTGATTGTAAGGTGTACATGTCTGTCTGGCATGGTTCATCTGACCTTGACCTCTTTTTCATGGTTCATTGGTCAATGTTAAGTTTTCTTGGTTAAGACTGTTTCTTAGAAACTATAAGCAATAGGTCAACTATGTTTGGTTTATTGCATGATTGTAAGGTGTACATGTATTTCTGGTTTGGTTTATCTGACCTTGACCTCATTTTCTTGGATCATGTTAAGTTTATGTGTTACTTGTAGTAAAACTTTATATTTAGGACTATCAACATAAAATCAATGGTAAGTAAAGAAGGCGAGACATTTCAGCATGTGCACTCTTGTTATAAAAATCTTTAGTGTATTGCATTTCTGATTAATCCTCTTTAAAATTCAGGCCAGAATTTCATATTACCCAGTATTGCCCATTATTACCTGTTAAAACCCAGTAAAACCCGGGTTTTCCCTGTATTTCCCACAGGGCTGTGCAATACTCATAAAACCCAGGGTTTTTGCCAACCCTGGCCAATGATGATATTGAATCCATAGACACAAAAACTTTCTGGATCAGGGGTGGCGTCCAAGGTGAATTATTTTAAAAACTGTTATTGAATTATTGAAAATTTTACCAAATCTGACATTACAACACAAATAATGCATACTTTAGGGGTCATTTCGTCGTCATTTTTAATGTGATATGCCAAAAAGAAGTTATTTTGTATTAATAGTAATATCACAACTATTTCTATGTGAAATTTGTTAAATTTTGGCCTGATTAAATAAATATCAAATTCTTAACGCCAATTATAACCCTTTATGGATTTACTTGTTTCTTAAAAATATATTATTTTCACAGGTCAAAAGAATTGTAACAAATATATTGAAGTAGAAAATCAGGGAGGATTCATCACATCACCAGGATACCCGAACAGTTACCCTGACAGTATTGAATGTGTCTGGAATCTTCACACTACAAAAAGATGGGGGATACAGATACGCTTTATAAGCTTTAAGTTACAAGATACAGAAAACACCGACTATCTGACAATATACGATGGTTCAGATAGCTCGTCAAGACTTATTAATACTTACTATGGTCTGAATACACCACCGTTAGTGATTGAATCAACATCAAGTGATTTAACAATTGTTTTCTATTCTGATTCATTTATCAAAGAAAAAGGATTTAATTTTACATATCAAAACAAAGGTACAGTACAATATTTGTGGCAAGCATAAAATTGCACATCAACAATTTCCTGTTGTACGTATTTGTACCCTCCACTGGTTTACATCTGTCTGTCCATCCATGTTTTCATCAGTCCATCCCTACGTCTCATAAAATTTTTTCTCAGGAACTGCAAACTAGAACTTCCTGAAATTTTCTATCATGTAAACATGCTATACTGTGTGATGCATTTTTACATCCATCGCTCATCAACTTTCTGTTTACTTAATGCTTCTTACAGGGGTATCATTAGTCAGAAATAGTTCACAGTTCAACTTCTTGCCAACTTACCTATTTTGGAAAGATAACACACTTAAAATGGCTTCTGAGGTCAGTAGTCTGTCCTGTGAGCATATTTGTGTTTTTAATGTTAAGGGAGACCTAAAATTGACCTTACAATTTGACCTATGTCATATCCTGTAGAAAAACCAATAATAACATTCTACTTTCTATGCAAATTTAAATAGTACAGACAATCTTTTTATATACAGTTTTATTAGACAGTGTCGATTGCTTCAAAATCTAATTATGATAATGTTGGGATGATAATTTTGCATTGCAATGGCCACTGCCGTAACTTGGCTATAAAGTTTTTATATAACAGAAGGTATGGTATGATTGTACAGTAAACATGTCTGTCTTGCAGGGTTCATAAAACTTTACCTCATTTTCATGAATCATTGATATAAATGTTAAGTTTACGTGATACTTGAAGTAACACCTTATCTTAAAGACTTTCAAGACAAAAATCAATTATAATCAGTAAAGCAAGCAAAGTCTATCCAAATTTATTTTTGCAAAGAATTCCACTCAGGCTGGTGCTAGGGGCCATCTTAAACTTGCAGTGAGGTGAGAGTTCTTTTGGTTTTTTTTTGCTCTGTGTTGAAGGCCTCACTGTGACTTTGAGATGAAGAACAGCCTTTGCTTTTTGTGTGTTTTTTTGCTGTGCATGTACTGATTTTGTGTCATGGATAGATACCCCATATCCTTTGTTTTTCTATGACATTTCAGGGTGTGCACACTTGTTTATTTGTAGGAAAATGTCTACCAGACCAGGTCCTTTGTGGAGGAGAAAAGGATTGTTATGACAGAATCCATGGTTGTAATGGTATTTGGGATTGTCCATTATCTGGATATGATGAAAAAAATTGTGGTAAGTTGTAGTTTAATATAAGTTACATGTAAGGAGATGTGGTATGATTGCCAATGAGGCAACTATGTGCTGATGGCAAACTATACGTAATTGGGTAGTATTTCTGATTTTGATGAACTTTTATATGCATTTAGCACTTGTCGAACTGCATCTGAATATATAAAAAAAATATATTTGTAGTAATAAAAAAAACTGTATTTATATTTAAATGCCAGAGAAACAATCAATTAAAACTGTCTGAAAGTATATTTGGTTAACTAAAAGTTATAATTTTACAATGAAGTACACGTTTTATATACTGTGGATTAATTATTATTGATGGCATACCAATTTTTTTGGATTTCTTGGGTATAGGTAACTCACACATTGAAATGTTCAATAAAGTAGCAGTGGCAGATCCAGAACTTTTCATAAGGGGGGGGCCCGCTGACTGACCTAAGGGGGGGCCCGCTCCAGTCATGCTTCAGTGATTCCCTATATAATCAACCAAATTTTTCCCACAAAAGGGGGGGGGGGGGGCCTCGGCCCCCCAGGGCCCCCCTGGATCCGCCTATGAGTAGAATTTTTTTATAGTCTAATACTCAGACTTTGGCAAAACCATGAAATCAAATATCTACTAAATTACAGGTTTTCCTCAATCCAGGAAAATAAAATGAATCCACAGTAGGCTTGTATGCAAATCCATGAAATCAAATATCAATAAATATATACAATATTTCTTCAATCCGTAATAATTGGCAGGGACTAAACTTAACTGTTTTCCTCCAGGGGCCAGCTGGGCCCCAACATATTTTTTTCAGGGGACCAACCAATTTTCATTCTAATAAAATAAAACTTAAATGTACTTTTCATATACTAATAAAGCTTTAAATAATTTTTATGTGATCCTATATGTAGCTTTTGAGCCTGGAAAAGATTATGTGTGATAACTTTATAATTATTGAATTATTGCCATCAGAAATATATCATAAGATTTGAAAATACTGATTTTAGTACATTTCCAATCAAAATTGCCCCCCTTCAATTTGAACTTCCTGTTGACATTTTGACAAAATGGCTGTTTCTATGAATCATTAAATGCTATTTCAAATCCAAGCCATCCTCTAATAGTGTTTATTAAAAACATTATTCAATTACTTTTTATTGAAGATTTTGTAAATATATATAGCAATGCTTGGACAAGTTATCGTCAAATACAGGCTTGTAATGAATCCCTGGACAACTGGAATGCATCTCAAAAAAGCAATGCAGATTCAACAGTGTAGACGAAAACACTAAACAAGAATAAAGTAATCGTAGAAGCTTCAAAATAGAGATGAGCTAGGCGATCAGGATCAGGATGATAAAATATGTTCGCCCATCTGAAAATTTGGACTGTTAAGTTTAGTCCCTGATTAGTATCCACAAAAATATAAGATTCAATATTATTTGTCACTGGACAAAAAGAAAGCAATAATATATTAATACATCTACTGATAATGTTTATATTAACAGAAAGATGTGGTGAACAGTATACATGTGGACCACACATCAATCAGTGTTATGAGGCAAAACAGAGATGTAATGGTGTAGGACATTGTACCAACATGATGGATGAACTGTATTGCTGTAAGTTTGATGCTTGAAGAGGGTGGAGAATACCAGTGGAAAAATTGTGGTGCTAGGTGTCAGATAATCTAGCAAATGTCAAAAAAGGGGATAGGGATTAACAGGGACATTTTAATTGTAATAGGGGTCAGGCAATGAATAAAAGTAGTCGGACCATTAAGGTCTTTTTTTTTTTTACATTTTTTAAAGCTATAAACATGTATTCAATAACAAGCAAGCGTCATCTGGGTTAAGTGATAAATAAAAAAATAAGGAGATCTGGTATAATTGCCAATGAGGCAATTATCTTCCAAAGACCATAGGTAAAGGGTGTATTGTTGTATACAACTACAGGTCACTGTATGGCCTTCAACAATGAGTAAAACCCATACTGTATAGTGAGCTATAGAAGCCCAGGGTAACAGAATGTGATATAATTCAAAAGAGAATACTTACGGCCTGGTTAGTCTGGATTCACAGGGTAAATTATGCATACAAAGTAGGAAACACTTACCCTGTTGTCATAATCTGTTTCGTTCCGCTTAGAGTTCAAGCTATTCCCTCAGATGTTTTCTCTTGATTGGTATATTTCAAATGGATTTACAATTTTTATGCCCCATTTATAGGCATTATGTTTTTTGGTCTGTGGGTCCGTTCATCAGTCTGTTCGTTCATCCGTCTGTGTGTCCCACTTCAGGTTAAAGTTTTTGGTCAAGTTAGTTTTTGATGAAGTTGAAGTGCAATCAACTTGAAACTTAGTACACATGTTCCCTATGAAATGATCTTTCTAATTTTAATGATTAGAGTTTTGACCCAAATTTCACGGTCCACTGAACATAGAAAATGATAGTGCAAGTGGGGCATCCGTGTACTATGAACACATTCTTGTTGGACATCTGTTAACCCCAGTTACCTCCTATTAAGCTAAGAAACGAGACCAGATTCATCACAGGGTTATCACCTCCTGCTGTACTTGCCTTGTGTGTCATGTGATTCCAAAATCTTATTCATTTATTAATTACCAAAAATGAAGTGTCGTTAGCCAGTGAACTTTTTTAAGGGAAAACTGTGTTTCTATGTTGTAAAATGAAAGATATTAAATGTTACAGTAAAAATTAAACAGGCAATAACGTTTTTGTTGTATAGTTCAAAAATATTCTGAACCTTGCATTCACACATTTATGTAGGATAAAAGAAGACATATATCATGTATATAAGAAGTGATTAAGATGATGTTTATTTCATGTTTCAGCTTCTGCACAATGTGGACCCCACAATGGAACGTTTTTGTGTGATAACAGGAGATGTATATATGAGACATGGAAGTGTGATAAAACTAATGATTGTGGTGATAACAGTGATGAATTTGATTGTAGACGTAAGTTTTAGTGACAACAGGACCTTTGATTAGAGCTATGATTGGATAGGGCCTTTTCTTTGACTTTGGGTAGCCCAGAACTAGAGTTGGGTTAAGGTCATTGACCTGCAAAGATCTAATAGAAAAGTTATGATCAGCGTTTTTCCATTGACACAAATTAGTCCATTAATATCATCAGCAGATTTTAGGTTTAAGTTTTAATTTTGATTAGAGGAAATGGTTATTGCAACCATTTTTCTTGCACTATTCTGAAATTATAGTTAGAGGTTAAGGCTTGTCATTGACATCAACTACCTCAACAATGCATTTAGGAACTTTTCATCTACTGGGACTAACTCTTTTAATTACAGTTGGGATTATTAAAGGCCTTCTCATTGGCTTGTGATAGCCTTGTAGTAAAGGTAGGGGTTAGGGTTTAGTAATTGGTCAGCAGTAGTTAAATAATAAAGATATGGGTTAAGGTCTTGTCATTGACTAGCAAAAGCCAAAAATAAAGGTATTGAGTAAGGACCTTTTTGACTTGCAGTAGGCCATAAATAAATCAGAGTGTTAGTGTCTTGTCATTGGCATGCAATACCCTCTCACAAAAAAAAAAAATCTTATGACTAATGTTAACTGAACTTACAAGTATTTTTCTTGTAAGTTTTGTGCATAGAATCTCCAGATTTCGCAGGGCCTTTACTACAACTGACCTCAATTTTGCTGCAGTTGACCTAATGATGTTTGCAAAACAATATCTATTGTTCAAATATTTTCAGTCGTTGCACTTAAACAATAGAGGAAAGTTTTTTTATTTCCTCAAAGAATGGAAATTGGTATATAGTAAAGCTAAGGGTTAGCTGCTTTGTCATTGACTTTCTGTAGCCTTGTAATAAAGGAAGTGGTCAGGATCTTGTCACTGACTTGGAGTTCCCAAAAGTAAATCTAGGGGGGTTATGGCCTTGTCATTGAATTGTAGTAGCTTATAGAAAAAAGTTGGTGTTCTGGGTCTCAGCGATGACTTGTAGTAGCCCAAGTTAGGTCTTAAAGGTTAGTATCCCAGTTGTAGAGGAAAGGGATAAGGCCTTTTTGATAGTCCTAAGTCTATAAGTCGTGGTAAGCTAAGGCCTTGTTATTTACTACTTGGAACCCAATAGTAGTGGTATGGGTCAGGGCAGGGTGATTTAATTAGCCCCAGTCCAGTTAGCACTCTAAAGGTCTTGCCAATTGCTTAATCTTACCCAAAAGCTGATGTAGTAATTTTGTTTGTGCCTTGACCCGATAAAGAACAGTAACCACTTGGTCTATTTGGATACAGGGATTTATTTTCTTGGTAACTAATGCTTTTGGATTAAGGAAAAATTGTATTTTCATGGATCTACAAAGGTCTGCATACAAGCCTATATAAAAATTGTACTTCATTGAACATTTAAATTCATGGTTCATCTGTACCTAGGAAATCCACGAAAATTGGTATCCAACGAATAATGATGAATCCAAAGAAGTACGAAAGCTTTACAATAACACAACACTTTATACAAATTACACATTTCAGTTATGTATTGCACATTTGAAAGTAATGGGTAATTTGGAATTCCTAAGCACTACTGGCAAAACAAATATGGAGATATAGAGATATATATTGGTTTAAATGTTTTTTAATATAAACAGTAAAATTACAAAGTACTTGATTGTTAAGTTGAACAGATGTAAGGGAGGTAGTGCCAAAAAAATAGCTTGATAAATTTTATGCGCTTTTCTTGTTTTACCCTCATCAGGAAAGCTCAAAGCCAAATATTTGAAAGACAAGGATGTATAAGAACCTTGTTGCAAATCTGAAGTACCTGTTCAATGATAGAAAAGAGTTTTCTCATTAAATCACTTAAAATTTCATTTCTTGATGATTGAGCTTTTTCAAATATTAATTAAATTTATCAAATTTTATATACAGATACCAGTAACTTGATAAAGATAGCAGCTGTGTGTGGTGCTTTGATTTGTGGACTACTTCTTGTTGTAGCTTTAGGGTGTACATGTAAACTCTACAATCTCAGAATACATGGTCACAGACAAAGGCATGAAACACCTTTGTCAAGATTGTATTCAGAATTCATGAGAAGACGTGCTCCTCCTCCATACCATGAGGCCATGCTAACATCTCGGCCTTATGATGAAGTTAGACGAGACTACCTTGAACATCTGCAGCAAACAGGAAGTAGACCACCATCAAGGAGAGGAAGACGTACCCGTAACAGAAATCAACTACAAACAGGAACAGGAAATGCTGACGGAGAATCTCAAAATACATCAGATAATGCTGATAACAGGGAACCAGAGCAACAAGATGGTCCTGCAGAAACGCAGAACTCTGTCAATACAGAAATTGAAAGACAAAATTCAACTGCTTTACTTATTCTTCCAGAAAGTAGTTCAGATGAGTCCGAAAGTGACGATAATCAAAATGATTCTGTACAAGTGAGCATCTCCGAGGAAAATGTTGTTACAGCCTGTTACAGAAGAGGCAGCCAAAATAATAAAACAGAATCCGACAGTGAAGATGTCGGCCAATCACATTCTACCCTACCAGATCCAGATTGTCAATCAGCTGATGTCTGTAGTGTAGATGCTACTACCATAGCATCATGTGATAGTATAGACGAAGCTTCTGACAAGACTATTGACATTGTAGTTGAAACTCTTCCACGAAGACGTAATAATTCAGAAGGCTCTCTCAATTCTAACGAATCGGCAGACAATAACAGTTATGGTGAATTTACAATAGCTGAAAATGTGATCTGATTAAATGTCAAATTCCATACAGGAAAAAATGTGATAAATTTTTTTATAAAAAATTTTTGTGACGTATCTTTAAAAGAAAAGTTATTTACATTTTAATACTATACTTTTATTGATTAGTATATATAATTTATTTGAATTTTTGAAAATTGTTTTTATCTAGTAAGAAAATTTGTTTTAGAGAATTTTACCCTACTTCTGTTCATCTATAGAATTTACTTTTTTTTTTTAAATATCGATAACTTTTGAAATTTTAAGTATCAAAACTTTGAAGAAAATGTATTTAAGATTGACAAATAGCTAGAATTATATATATAAAAATGTGATTTGCGTTTATATTCACAAAAAAATTATTGAATATATTTGATATTGTATAGTTAGAAGAAATTGGGACAATTAAACTGTTTTTTTTATTTATTTTAAATTGTGTATCGGATATAACAAAGTTCAATCTCTGCAAAGAAAAAAATAAATTGCCTCATCTGAATACCAATTTTCCATTATTATTTTTTTTCTAATTGCTCAATAGAGACAATTAGCTTAATCACATTTTTTTAGATAACACATTTTCAATTGACATGTATATGTTGGAAAAAAAACCAATTTCATGCATTTACCAACATAAGCATAATTTAGTAGCTACAGTGTAAGACAATGCAGTGACCATGGTAACATTTTTATGTAGACTTTGTCATGCATGTACATGAAGATTGTTCATCAGGTCACATGAGATAGATTATGATTTTTTTTATTGTCAATTGCAAGGCTAAAGAAAAGGTAAAAGTTTTATTTTTCAATAAATATCACAAGTCTGTGCAAGAGTACCGTTTCTTTCATCATTTCTTTTTTTTATTGTGTATGACCGTCTCATTGATATGTTATTCCAAACACTGTATATAACCACAACTTGTCCATTCCATTCAGTTGTTGAATTCTATTTTTACACTCTTGTATAATTTTATAATATTTTCAAAGATCTCAGAATTTTTCTTTTAAATGAGACGTTTTAGAAACATTATCCATTTATTGACATATTAGTTTATATAGCAAATGCCATAATTTTCTATTTACATGTTGGATAAAATGCTTTAGGGCAATTTGGAAATTTTTGCTGTTTTCTTTCAGACAAATTTAAAAAAAATACCTCTTAAATATGAAAACTTTTGTAGGGGCTGAAAATGCAAATAAATAATGGTATAATGTTAAAACGAAAATCGATTGAAAAAAAATGTCTATAAATATCAGTTTCTAAATATTTGCACATCAAAAACATCTTCTCATTATCATGATGTATTTGTTTGAAATGTTTAATTTCTTGTTACAGGCCAGACATAGGTATATTCCCTTTGGATGACAGTGTTAGTTTTTATATAAACTACTGGTATATATTTCACAAAACCTAAACAGACAATATTTTATTGTAAGATGATTGTGGCTATTTAGTTATTGTCAGATATACATGTATGTCAGAAACCCTTGACCTCATTTACTTGTTTCAATTACTATTTGTGCAGTTTTTGAAGAATACAAAAACAGAAAACCTACAGAAATACTTGGTCTGTAGATGTCTAATTCTGGACCATGTCAATCAAATATGTTCTGTTACATTTACATGATTATTTATGTGTATGATTATAAAAACTGAAAATTCTGCATCCAAGTTTTCTAATTAGGTCAGTTGTGAGATGAAACATGTACATTGGAGTCTAACATATACTACCTGGCCTAAATCTCAGTTTTACAGTTCAGTAATTCACTTATACATGTAGTTTACATCTTTCCTTGTCTGCTTCTAAGTAAGAGAATTACACTTGGTCTTTATTTTTGCTGTAATCTAAAGTGAATATCATGCTATGAGAGAATACCACCTGGTCTTGGCCTTATTTTCACAGCTCAATGATTCCATTCAAGGTATGACAATAACTTATTGTTAAATGAATAAGCATGACAGGTGTCACCTTACCTTGACCCTGGTTTCGCAGTTTCATGATTCACATTCAAGTCTCATGATTATGTAATTTTCTTGTTTAACTGTTTGCATGTTCTACAGCTACAAGGACATAAGGGTTGTAAAAATTACAAATTAATTTGCTGTTCCTGACTACTTATACAGTAGAATATATTGCTAATCTATTTATTTTTATTATCATATAGCTTATTTATGGCTTTCCCTGTCAGCAGCAAAACTCAAACTGAAAACTACCTAGCATCCTTGGGAAAGTTTTGAAGGGTCTAAATCACTAATTGTACATTGACCAAATAAGGAGTGCTCAAGAAGCCTAAGGGCATGAATGTACCGATCAAGTGCTACACATATGCATTTTATGATGTGGCTTGAATAAACAACACTCTTATACATAGTATATAAGCTCCTAGCAGAAATGAACTTACCTGTCCAATAGCAAATTAAATTGTCTTTTTTTTTATAAGCATCATTTATACAGAATTGTATTGTAATTCATACATGGCTACTTTACAGCATAGACCTTTCTGTGTGTGCAATCATGACCAATATATGTACAGTGTACATTTCTCATTATGAAAGTGTTAATATATCATTATTGAATGAAATTGTTATCACTATTTTATTTTCATTGAGATTTTTGGAATCATATTAAAGTACAGCTGCCAATTAAGAGCCATAATATGAAACAATTGCAGCTTATAGCTTTGTTACCAATACATAATATATGAGTTTTAAAACTAGTTGTAATTATGAAGACAAAATTTTATTTACTTGTGAAATCGAAATGACATACTGTAAGAATATATACTTCAACATATTTTTTCTTGTTTCTGTTTCTGTCTTTCAAATCAAATTAGAACACTGTAAACAATTGTAACCTCCAATCTCATCACATTGTAATAGGTTTAATTGTCAAATTACTTTATAGCAAAATTACTTCCTCAAATGTAGATTTTCTGCATGTACAAACAAATTATTGTAGCAAAAATATCCCTAGATTTACCATCACTTAACTTATTACTGTGTCTAGGTTTAGTCAGAGACATACAATGTATATATATGTCTCTTGTTTAGTCAGAGACATACAATGTATATATATGTCTCTTGTTTAGTCAGAGACATACAATGTATATATATGTCTCTTGTTTAGTCTATATAATACTAAAACTTATCATTTCCTTTCTTTTACAAAGAAAATGTCTATGGTTTTGAAAACTGAACTATTTTTATGCCCCCGCCGTACCGGAGGGGGCATTAAGTTTTACCCTTGTCCGTCTGTACGTACGTCCCGAAATTGGTTTCCGTTCTCTAACTTGAGTTTGCCTCAACCAAATGTAATGAAACTTATACACAATGCTTATTACCACAAAACACAGATCAAGTTTGAATTTTGGTGGCGTCACTTTAACCGATCTAGAGTTATGCCCCTTTATAAAAGGAAATATTGCATAATTTTTAGTTTCCGTTCTCTAACTTAAGTTTGCCTCAACCAAATGTTATGAAACTTATACACAATGCTTATTACCACAAAACACAGATCAAGTTTGAATTTTGGTGGTGTCACTTTAACCGATCTAGAGTTATGCCCCTTTATAAAAGGAAAAATTGCAAAATTTTTATTTTCTTCTAAATATCAAGTTTATATAATATATTTTTAAAATTGGAGTTATCTTCCTTTGACCATGATTATAGTTGAATCAACTACAATCAATGCTTTATACAATGCAATGTTTAATTTTGACTACCACTGATAAAACACAGATCAAGTTGAATTTGGGTAGTGTCACTTTAACCATTATTGAGTTATGCCCCTTTATAAATAGAAAGATTGCAAAATTTTTTAGTTTCCATTCTGTAACTGAAGTTTTCCCCAGCCAAAGATTGTGAAACCTATACACAATATTCATTCCAACAAAACTCAGTAAAGATCAAGTACATTTTTTTTGTTTCAGTTCTCTAACTTGAGTTTGCCTCAACCAAATGTTATGAAACTTATACACAATGCTAATTACTACATAATACAGATTAAGTACGAAATTAGGTGGCAACACTTTTACCATTCTAGAGTTATGTCCCATTATAAACATAAAAATTGCTGAATTTTTTAGTTTGTCTCATTCAAATGTTGTAAAACTTATACACAACCGTTCTAGAGTTATGCATCATTACAAATAGAAAAATTGCTGAATTTTTAGTTTCTGTTCTCTACTTAAGTTAGCCTCAACCAAATGTTATGAGACTTACACACAATGCTTATTACCACAAAACTCAGATCAAGTTCAAATTTGGGTAGTGTCACTTTTACCGTTCTTCAGTTATGTCCCTTTATAACTATATGATATGCAAGCGGGGGCATCATCTGTGTCCACATGTGGACACTATCCACATTTATTTTAAATGGCCTAAGATTATTTAACCAATTATAGACGAATTTGTATATTTTATTTTTAATTTTGTTGTAGTTGTTATTTAAAGTTGTATGTTTTTGTTGTTACTTTTGAATTTTGTTTCTTTTTTGTTTCCTCATTTTAGTTATAATATTAAATGATATATTCAGAACAGCACACATAAATATACCAAGTACAAATTGTAAAAATACTTATAATACATGTATTTGATTTGTTTGTAGGATATCATTTTATCTGATATTAAAATTGTTTATAATAGTACAAAAATATAAAGTGCTGTAGACACTAAAAAAACATTTTAATTCCCTCAATTTGTTTTTCCTATTACAGGAAAACTTGTTGATGGTTTTGTACAGAGATGATAAGATTTTTTGATGAATTTTCAGTGTTACTTTTCACTTTTCAACTTGAATCAAGTTGACCGAGCTAAATTGAATTCGGTATTTGATGGTGAGTGAATCATTTGTAGAATTTCATACTGAATCACCACTTTGTTGCTGGGTCATTTGAGCATAATCTATATAAAGTACTTAATTAAAATTTTCAGACAACACACTAGAACTTTGCAAACAATGTTAAAGGATTAAATGAGATTTTACTATCCTGGTGATTTTCCCCAAAAAAACTTTATTTTGTTTTAAATCATTCAGTTATCTTTACACATCACTTCTTTGTAGACTATATATTATAATTTGATTATGAAAGATGAAAATTTTAATTAGACTATACAATCATTGTACAACAATCTCTCATATCATGTTGATTTTATAATAAAGGATGTAGGCTTAATATACTGTTGTGTATACATTTTCTACCCAAGTTAATTCATACTCAGACTGTCTTGCTGACAGAGTTATGTTGTAATTAATTGATCAGCAGTTGCATGCTCTGATCCATGTTTCACCATAACTTATGAGTCCATAATGGACATATATGTAGTCCAGGTTTAGATATATATTTTCCCAATTGCAAAACACTTGTTTATGATGTTGTTTGTGTTAAGATGTAAGTTTCCATTACACAAACTTTGCCCCGTCTTCGGTTGTAAGTCAAGATATATATTTTCATTACACAAGCTTTGCTGGGTATATGGTGTAAGTCCAGATATATATTCCTAATACACAAGCTTTGCTGGTCTTGCGGTGTAGGTCCAGATAAATATTCCCAATACACAAGCTTTGCTGGTCTTGTGTAGGTCGAGGGAATACACAAGCTTTGATGGTCATGTGGTGTAGGTCCAGATATATATTCCAAATACACAAGCTTTGCTTTTCATGTGATGTAGGTCCAGATATAAATTCCCAATTGACAGGCCTTGTAGGTCTTGGGTGTAGGTCCAGATAAATATTCCCAATACACAAGCTTTGCTGGTCATGAGTTGTAGGTCCAGATAAATATTCCCAATACACAAGCTTTGCTAATCTTGTTGTGTAGGTCCAGATAAATATTCCCAATACACAAGCTTTGCCTGTCATGTGATGCAGGTCCAGATATATATATTACCAATTGACAAGCCTTGCTGGTCTTGTGGTGTAGGTCCAGATAAATATTCCCAATACACAAGCTTTGCTGGTCATGTGATGAAGGTCCAGATAAATATTCCCAATACATAAGCTTTGCTGGTCTTGTGGTGTAGGTCAATATAAATATTCCAAAGACACAAGCTTTGCTGGTCATGTGATGTATGTCCAGATAAATATTCCCAATACACAAGCTTTGTTGGTCTTGTGGTGTAGGTCCAGATAAATATTCCCAATACACAAGCTTTGCTGGTCTTGTGTTGTAGATCCAGATAAATATTCCCAATTCACAAGCTTTGCTTGGCATGTGGTGTAGGTCCAGATAAATATTCCCAATACACAAGGTTTGTTGGTCTTGTGGTGTAGGTCCAGATATATATTCCAAATTGACAAGCCTTGCTGGTCTTGTGTGATGTTGGTCCAGATGAATATTCCCCAATAAACAAGCTTTGCTGGTCATAGGATGTAGGTCCAGATAAATATTGCCAATACAAAAGCTTTGCTGGTTTTGTGGTGTAGGTCCAGGTAGGTTTGTGTTTGGGATATAAACTAGTGCTTTATCTTTACCGAGTTCATTTGAAAAGCAAAGCTCGTGGAAGTGGGAATACATAATTATGTCCAAACCCTCGCCAAATGACAATCAATGATATAACCCGGACTTATCTCAAAATGACCAGCAAGGCTTGAGTGGGGGATATATACCTGTAACTAACTCATAATGGCTAGCAAGGCTTGTAAAGGGGATATATACCCCTACATATCTGAAAATGACCAGTAAGGCTTGTGTAGGGAAATATACCCGGACCTATTTCAAAATGACCAGCAACACTTGTGTAATGGGATATTTATTTAGACCTACACCTCAAGACCAGCAAGGATTGTGTATTGCAAAAAATAATCTGGTCCTACATCACATGACCAGCAAGGCTCGTGTATTGGGAATATATATCTAGACCTACAACACAAGATTGATGAAATGTACATTTTTGATTACTTCACTATCTTGTAATATACTAGTACACTGTATTGAAACTAATCGTTGACTAATTTATATAGATGGACACTAAACAACCATGCAGCCGTTTTCCATTATAGAGTGTCGTTTGGTCTTACATGTTAGATGGATGGTTATCTCGTTGCAATCTTAATACCACACTTCTGATGTTTTACATCTTCCAACTATCCAGATTGCTACGGCCAACGACCAAAAACACAGACTGATGGGAATCACAAGTGTGGCTAGAACTACTGAATCCTCCGTAGCAATTATGGCCTGACATCTATTTAGTATACGATTCTTGTTACTCAAACTGTTTTCAAAGATCTCCCCTGAAACTACAGGACCAATTTCAACCAAACATGAAATGAATTATCCTTAGGGTATCTAGTATAAATTTTATGATTTTTATTCCAGTCAGTCAACAAAAGATCCCCATGGCTAAAAATAGAACACGATGGTAACATGCATTAATTGTCTTATATCTTGAAAAACCAAAACATGCATAATAGACAGAGAAAATCTGACAGGTTGATGATGCTTAGAATGTCACGATCTACATACTGCCTATTTTCTCCAAAATTACATGATGACTGCTTATAAGAGTCTGAGACTACTATAACACATAGTAGTCTCAATAGTTTATACCCTTAAAGAAGTTTTTTTTTATTTTCGTGATTTTGCCTATCATTTCGAAAACTTTAATGAGGCCCCTCATGTGGGTGTCAAAGTAAACACATAATCACATTTTTTGCCAACATTAATTATATTTTTCAACAAGATAATCAAATAATCAAAAATACAGTCCTAGATTATCAAATAATCATGAAATATTTGGTCTGGTATTCAAATAATTGCTACAAAAGCGGCCAAGTAATCACATAATCAAAAACCCCATGAGGAGGCTCTTTAATAGATATGCAGAAAGTGTAAACAGCACAAATGATTAGCAAAACAAGGTCTGCAAAAACGCGAATATGTTCTAATCAATAACTATAATAGACTGGTAGAAAGTGTGAGCAGCAAAATTAACTATATTTTTTTTTTGCGTTTTGGGGAAAATCTAAAGTCGATAGAAAGAAAACTGTAAGCAGCAAAAATGATCAGCAATACGTGAATTACACTATAGTATTTTATGTTTGAGAGTGGCCATTGTTGAAGCTACACAATTGTCTTTAGTTCCATTTGGTGGTCACGAGGTGGTCTGTCGACATTGCTTTTGATTGACCTTAGGTGTGGTCTTCCTTCTGTTAATGACCATAACCACGTCCCTTTTCCTCGAATGTGATATCCCATAATTAGACTTATCACCGAGTTTGTTCTTACATGAGCAACACGACGTCCTTGTGTTGTGCTGTATCACAACTGTCCCAGGTTTGGGGGAGCCCGCAAACATGTACAACCCCGCCACATTCTGTATGTTCCTTTCCCAAGTCAGGAGCCAGTAATTCTGAATTTCAGTGGTTGTCGTTTGTTGATGTATATATATATCATATTTGTTTTTCGTTTATTGTTTTGTACATTAATCATGTTAATCAGACCGTTAGTTTTTTCGTTTCAATTGTTTTGCATTTGTCAGTTCGGGGCCTTTTATAGCTTGCTATGTGGTAAGGGTTTTGCTCGACGTTTTATAAGGCCGTACGGTGACCAATAGTTGCTAACTTGGAAAATTAATGGCCAAAATTGAATATTGTAGCCGCCGTCTTCTCTTTTTATTGCACACCACCAGATATAGTTTCCTGTCAAAAGGATGGAAAAATACAAGAAAAACGTAAAGGTGTAATAACCAAACAACTATGATACCGAAATTGAACACTGTGTATATATTTGTATATAGAACTAAATTCAATGGTAATGGACTGCAAACTGCACTGTATACATAAAGCACGCAGTCGCAGGTGGAGGATGTTTAGGGACTTATCATTTTTTTATCTAGGAGGGGGGGCTGGTCAAAATGCAGGGGGGATCAAGTTTTTTTCTGTATGTGGACAAGGGGGGGGTTCAAATTTTTTTATAAATTCAAAGTGGGGGATCAATATTTTTTGCACTTGGAAATAAGTAGTTCACATACTTCAAGAGACAAAATTAAATGTCAAGAAGAACATTACAAGAGTCAAATCGAAATATATTTTTAACACCATTCATATACCGGTACAATTAAGTAAGACATTACAAGACTTTGGTGATGTAGGAAGCTGCCATTTTGTGTCATTTTGTCCTATAAAAAATGCATAAGTGCTTCATAATCCGAATAATTCAGTTGTTATATTTCACTCATGTCGATCACTAAATTAACAAGCATTATTGCAAATGAGTCCTTTTGTTTTCATTACAAGAGCCCTTTGGGTCCATTTATACCTCTCACTCCCTCAAAATTTGTACTTTTTAGGCTAATAAATAAAAAAATTGAGGTTAATTTTACTATCACACATTTATGAATGAAATGTGACAATAAATGAGTAACTGAAATATAAAAGTTCAGCGACTCAATGGAGGTTTCAATAATGCCATACGTAAAACTTAAGTTTAAGCAGCGTTCAAGAGAGGGCCATATAAATAATGTGTTGTTACTGTTTCAAAAGGTTTACTTTTTAATGTATATTTTGTACAGAATTACTCAGAATCAAGTTTTCTTTAATAGCCCAATATAGGAAATTAGAAAAAATGTCAGAAAAAGCTACTCAAAGCCCTGGCTTGCTCTACCTACTAATATTCATGGAAGAGGCCTTATGGAAGAGCCCTATTTCAAGGCAATTTCCCCTCAAATAAGTTTTTGGACTCAATCCACTGAGAATATTTCATTTTCAATATTTCCTTGAAATAACATGATAAGTGATTCGCATGTTAAAATTTTGGCATGTTTAATATAGGGGGATCACATTTTTTAAATGTTTTTACAGGGGGGATCAAATAAAAATAGTGAAATATGGGGGGATCAAGAAATTTTGTATGTATGATTTCAAAATGACCAGCCCTCCCCCCCCCCCCCCCCCCCCCCCTCTCAGGTAAAAAATGATAAGTCCCTTACAGTTAAACATACTGGTGCCTATGAAGACACTGGTGTGGTTCTCCTATACAGGAGGTTAAAGATACAGAGGTAAGGTAAGGCTAACCTAGCTTCTACGTCATTTGGTCTCTGGTGGATGTTATCTTCTTATTTTCATATCTATATTCTATATTGTCATACATTTACTGTAAAAAAAAAACCTTATTTATTGTAGAGATAAGTGATGTTTTGTAGTATGTTCTTTTATATACATTCGTTTAGTCCACTGATGGCAATTAAAAGAGGCGGGGTTGATATTACAACCATGCAGACTAGTACCGTGTTCACGCACCTGTCCCAAGTTAGGAACCTCGTCAGTGGATGTCTCAGTTTTGTCATATCTTAAATGTTTATTCCATTTGGAGAATTTGGTATTGATGGATTTTTTAATACTAGTAGTTTCTGTTTTATTAGACTAGTTAGGTGCGATTTAGATTTCGACATATTATAATTAAGCCGTATATTGACTTCTTTTGATTTTGTGCCGAATGGTTGCTGTCTTATCCAAGTGACTCATACCCAAAACTTATTTCTTTACCTTAAGGCTATTCACGGTTATACTTTGTTTGATTTGTTTTCTTAGTGACTCATGAAAAATTATGCTATCTAAATACACTGGAGTGGTAAAAATATATCCGTATCAAACAAATGTAAGCTAATTTCAAACTTCGTTACCATAGAACGCAACGGAGAAAAGTTTAAATAACCTGTAAAGAAAGTTTAAGTGACACTCTATAGAGTACTAAACACGATAGCATTATTAAAAAAATTATAATGATAAAGAAGATTTGTTCGTTTAAAAAAAAATAGACATACAGTAAAGTAAAACTCGAATTGTACATCTGCAGTATGTGCTGTATGATCCTATATTGCAGTATTTATGTAATTGCTGTACTACAAAAAGTATTAAGAAAGAGTTCATCTGTATATATTCACACTACCATATCGCTATTTTCTGAATCACCTTAAAACATTGTACAGAGTCATAATTTACATATCCTTCGTGACGATATTTAACCTGATAAAATTGGACGTCTTGGAGGCACAATCATGTCTCTTTCATCACTTTAATAGCCTGTTACACACATGACTGATATCCAAGGCCGTATATTTTGCTGTTTTTTAAGACTTATTCTATTAACGGGTTGTGTTTGTTTTTAACATATTATGGACGTACGTTTTTTATATTTAGTTATATCTGAATATCGTAGACTTACCTGATTTACCCATTGGCAAATAGAATCTCTTGAGCAACACATAGGCGGATCCAGGGGGGGGGGCTCGGGCCTCTTCGTGGGAAAAAAATTGGTTGGTTATATAGGGAATCACTGAAGCATGACTGGAGCGGCCCCCCCCCCCCCCTTAGGTCAGTCAGCGCCCCCTCCCTTATGAAAAGTTCTGGATCCGCCACTGCAACAGATAAAACGAATCCGTTAAACCATATTGATGTTTGTGTATGTTAAGGTAGATTTTTTTGGGGGGTGGGGGATGAAAAACGATAGAATGTTTAAATAATTTGCAAACATGTAGTTTATATCTTGCTATTCTAAAAAATATAATAAAAAAGCATTAGTCACGACTCACGCGGATCTTGTTTTCAAGCTACAGGTTGTGCAAAGTTGTCACTAAGTTTTTGTAAAGATTATACATGGACAAGCCACTTCTGTGTGAATAGAAAGAATTAATCTAAAGTTAGAATTTTCAATACAATATGAAGAGTTATAGCTCCAGAAAATATCAAGAAAATATAATAAGATATTTTAAAATAACATAATTTTCTTCATTTAGACGTAAATGCATATTTCATTATAAAAGATCTAGACCGACAGTTTTCAACTATATACTTCCTTAATATAGATTAAAAAAGACATCAATCCTGACAAACAGAATTTTCATTACATAATCATTTCTTCTACTTTTACAATCTTAAAAAAATAGTGGAATGCTTAAATTTGTGTACAATTGTAGTTATCTCAGTTCTATTTGGTGACTGTTACAATGCATTGAAACTGTTTATTTTACGGCAAGGACCGAAGCTCTTAAAACCGGCAATCGGTTAAATGCAGGACTTCGGTAAAGTTCGGATAGTTGATGTATGTTACATTAAATGAACCCTTTATTCTGAATGAAAACATTGCACCATGCACCATGTAAATTCTGGAATATGATAACAGCTCGGCTCAGCATAGTTAATTATTTTTGTTTTGTTTTTTATTTGAATATCTAGAAACTATTTTATAGAACAACTTGGAAGAAAAAGTGCCGGAAAATCTTCCAGCTTCATATAGTGTTGATTCGATTGGCACATGCGCTAACACAAAATATCTGAATTCGTGATGTCGGAAATGTTCGTTGTGAATAACACTGCTCAAAACATGCCAAGTACTGTTCCAGCCTTTCTAACAAAGCTATGGACACTTGTGGAAAACCCTATGGTCGATGATTTGATTTGTTGGGGCGAGGTAAACTACAACAACACGATATAATCACTATAAATACACAAAAAAGGGGGAGGGTACTTTCACGCTGTCAAATTCAGTTCACTTAATTTACCTGGTGATTTGGAAACATTTGTTTTTTGACTGCCCGTTCACTTGTAAAGAAATTAAAAACACTATCAATAAATATAGGAAATTGAGACATGTGAGGTATAATGATCCTGATTTGATACATGCATAGTCATACAAAAAGTTGCACATGACATACATGATACAATACACCTTATCGCTATTTGTCCGCCATTACTGGACATCACAAAAGTTCCCGTAAATTTTGACATCATAATAGAAAATATCTGACGCCACAATGGAAAAGTGATTGTTGTATGACGTCAAAAGTTCAAGCGGGACAGATTCTCAGGTCAAGCGGGAATACACCTTATCGCTATTTGTCCGCCATTACTGGACATCACAAAGGTTCCCGTAAAATTTGACGTCATAATAGAAAATATCTGACGCCACAATGGAAAAGTGATTGTTGTATGACGTCAAAAGTTCAAGCGAGACAGATTCTCGGGTCAAGCGGGACAGATTTCCAAATAGCGATAAGGTGTATAGCGATAAGGTGTATACACGGGTCACCACAGGATAATCGCCCTGCCGCCACAGGATAATTTTCCGTGGCATGGCGCCCTGCCATTTTTTCTTGACGCCCTGTCCTTTTTAAGAAAAAAATTGGTGCCATGCCCCTTTTCCGACGTATTATATAACGCCTTGCAGTAATTAAATATCTGTTCTGCGATATATATCTTTTATTAACACCATTTCGAGTTATGAATCCCTTGGGACAAAATCAAAATTTATATAAATGGCCGACATGTTATTGGATTTCATATTTGATGTTTGAATAATTTTGAAGTGACAAGAGTACAAATACGGTTCATGATTGAATCTAAGAAGGACAACATTGATTTGTACCTCTAAAAATTTAAACTAGACAATTTAAAAGGGAACTTGGTTATCGTTTGAGCTATAATTTTGCGATGCATGGGATGAACATTACTCATGTTACTACTGATTACGTAAACAATCAGCTGTTGGTATATATTTTCTATTTATACTATTTGGTCGGCCAAGACGATTGGATGTAGTTTACAATGACTTTCATACTGTTGTTATCTGAATAAAATTAAAGTTAAGAATATAGCTTATTTTGTTTTAATTAGTACAAAAAATCAACAACGTTTCAATAAAAAACCATAAACAAGATAACACAGAATTTTATGGAAAAAAAGATGAATAGCACAAGAACATGTATAGTAAGTCATGCTATACAAATCCTTGAATAGCCTATTTAACATTTTGTACAGTTATGAGCAAGGTAGCTTTGATTGGTATAAATATGTGAGATCCAAAAGGTAATTTGCACTAATTCTTTTGTGCAGCTAAAATGCAATGCACACGCTCTTGGTCATGAAATGTCCACTTTCACAACACATCCTGAGACAATCAGCCTCAGTGATCCAGTATTAAATTTTAAATCTGAAGTTACATTGTATTGATTGAAATGAGGCAGTTGCACTATCAAGCATTAGATTCTAATAGCTGAGTCTAGATATGATAATTCTATTACAAAAAGGAATTAAATTAATAACTTAATAGACATATCTTTATTTCTTACCAATAAATATATATGAAACAATGGTATATTTCAATTAAATCCCTATCCATAACAGTGCCTTTATATCTATGTAAAGAGTTCCCTGAAAGTGTAGTTTTCCCTGCAAAGGGTGCCTTTAAAGTGTAGCCAATCGCTCTAAGATGACCCTGCCCTTTTCAAAAGCTGCAGGAAACATTAACTGGACACACATGACCCAATTTATCCAAGTTGAAAATTCAGGTTTATTTAATTGCAATCTATTCTATAAATAAAAATGCAGGACTGTACCATCAACGTGTTCAAACGGTATCAATTTTCAAATTTAATTAATAAAAAGTTATCTTGGAAATGCATACAGCACCTGTTCATGTGGAGCAATATCTGCTTATCCGTCTGGAGCACCTGAGGTTACTCCTGGCTTTTGGTGGGGTTTGGGTTGCTCAGTCTTTGTTTTTCTCTGTTGCGTTTTTTATATACATTTGTAATCCCTTTTTGGATTCTGAGTCCAAAGTGATTTTCTGGTTTTGCTGCTTCAGAATCCCTCATCTAGCACTATTAAGTCTATTCAGGAAAATTTTCACCAACTACCTTGCCTCGAATCTGTGCCTTTTACATCTGCAGCACCATTCCATACACCTGAAGCTAGCATTCTTTTTACTTTTGTGCTAAGGAAAACATTTCCCTGAAATCCAGTGACTTGTGAGTTTTTATTGTCTGTTATATTGATTATATAATCTTATTGGTTTTACCATGTTTTGTCCTTTGATGTGAACATTCTGTATTTATATTTCAGAATGGAACTAGTTTCCATGTTTATGATCAAGGCAGATTTGCCAAGGACATTCTACCACATTACTTCAAGCACAGTAATATTGCCAGCTTTATAAGGCAACTAAATATGTGTAAGTAGTTTGTTTGTAATGTCCCTATTCACAAACACTGGTGTTTTTACATATGTAAGTTCAGTTGCAGTTATCAGGGTTTCCCCTGGGTCAATTTTCTTTTTTCGCTACCTCTTTTGCCAAAGCAATATTTTTTTCGCCACTTTCAATTTTTTTTTACCAACTAACATTAACATTGATTAACATATTTTCGTTTAAAATTTTCCTTCTTAGAAAAAATTCAGTTGGCAGCATTGTTGTCTCATCTTTAATAACTCTACATATTTTTTTTTAATCTACAGTGTAATTCAAATAAACACACTTATGATAACAAACATTTCTGATTTACTTTTTATTTATTTTTTTATCATGAAATCTTTATATTTGACTTCTTGGAATTTAGGAATTCATCTTCAATAAGTTTATTAGATACTTCCCATCTAGTTGAAGGATAAAAACAAAAGTCAGAGATTTTTCTTGCTTTTGAGCATTTTTCATTAAAACACTTTTTTTCCCAGGACCATCTTTTTAAAGAAAAAGTTGAGACGTATAATTATACTTCAAACACCTGTGTCGCTAAAACAATTTTGAAGTTCCAACTTCTAAACAATTATTTCTATCAAAGTTGAATCTTTTAGGTGACATGAAATGCTATTTAACCACACAATATCATTAAACAATACAATCAACAATCAACACCTTTATTAATTAGTCCATTGTTGCTGATAGCTATAAAATGCAATTAGCTGATTATTGATTTTCTGTTAAGATTGTAACATGTGAAGAAAGGTGAGATTCCAGTATTGTCTGATCAGGGATAAAGACTGAGAAAAACTAAAAAAAACTAAACAAGATTGATGAAGTTGAACCACTATTTTTCCTTCGCCAATAATGAATTTGAATCTCCACTTATTTTATTTGTTTCGCAAAATGTGAAATTGGCGACCACCAGTGGAAACCCTGGCAGTTATATGGCCTCACATACAGCTACAGTATCAGACATTGTAACATTTGTTATAAGAAAAGAAGGCAATGTCTAGTATTCACTACTAACTAGGTGATTTTGATTATCTCCCTTAGTGGTGTAGAGTGAATCATAGTGAAACTACTGGTGATTAAGAGTGATGACACTGATTTACAATCCTTTCATGTACTGTTGATTCATTATTATACATATGATACCAATTTCCGTGGATTTCATGGGTAAGCGTTAACCACAAATTTAAATATTCAAGGAAGTACAAATTTTCTATACCCTCGATCATAGACTTACATGTAGGCAGAACTATGAAGTCTAATATCAACAAAAATAAATGAAATCACAGTTTATATACATAAACATATTTTCGAGTAAATCACCTACAATTAATTGCAGTCATTGCAAACAATCACCCATAAGTGATTTTTAACTTAATCACGTTGTGTGTACTGTTCATCTATTAGACGGACAATACAAAAGACATCAAAATCATATAGTCTTCCACAATAGATAAGTGTGAAAACAATATGTCAAGATCATATAGTCTTCCACAATAGATAAGTGTGAAAACAATATGTCAAGATCATATTGTCTTCCACAAAAGATAAGTGTGAAAACAATATGTCAAGATCATATAGTCTTCCACAATAGATAAGTGTGAAAACAATATATCAAGATCATATAGTCTTCCACAATAGATAAGTGTGAAAACAATATGTCAAGATCATATTGTCTTCCACAATAGATAAGTGTGAAAACAATATATCAAGATAATATTGTCTTCCACAATAGATAAGTGTGAAAACAATATGTCAAGATCATATTGTCTTCCACAATAGATAAGTGTGAAAACAATATATCAAGATCATATAGTTTTCCGCAATAGATAAGTGTGAAAACAATATGTCAAGATTATATAGTCTTCCACAATAGATAAGTGTGAAAACAATATATCAAGATCATATAGTCTTCCCCAATAGATAAATGTGAAAACAATATGTCAAGACCATATAGTCTTCCACAATAGATAAGTGTGAAAAAAATATGTCAAGCTCTAATTACACTATTTGTAACAAATTCTCCAAAGGACAAGAATCAATAAGATATGACATATGTTGGAAGACCACCATCGACAAGGTTCTGGACTCAGGACAGGCACTTGAACAAAAGACTAAACTAGTTTTTATACGACCGCAAAAAATTTTTTGTGGTCGTATATTGGTATGACGTTGGCGTCGTCGTCGTCCGAAGACGCATTAGTTTTCGCACTCTAACTTTAGTTTTAGTGAATGGATCTCTTTGAAATTTTACCATAAGGTTCAATACCACAAAAGGAAGGTGGGGATTGATTTTGGGGGTTATGGTACCAACAGTTAAGGAATTAGGGGCCAAAAAGGGGCCAAAAATAAGCATTTTCTAGTTTCCAGACAATAACTGTGGAATGGTGTATGGATCTCTCTGAAATTATACTACAAGTTTCCATACCACAAAGGGATGGTTAGGATTTGCTTTGGGGGGTTATGGCTCAAACCGTTTAAGAATTAGGGGCAAAAAAGGGGGAAAAACAAGGTTGTCCTGGTTAATGGACAAATACTTTAGTACAAAACATAATTTAAAGCAGTGTTAGGGAGATAAATCAAATACATCATTGAAATTATCTCCCTTACACTGCTTTTAAATTATGTATAAAGTAATGGTTAATGAACAATTAAGATAATTTAAAACAGTGTAAGGGAGGTAATCCAAATACAACGTTTTGGTTACTTCCCTTACACTGCTTTTAAATTATGTTTAAAGAAATGCATATTTATAAAGGAAGACCAGTAAAAATATCTGCAAATGTTGCATCTTTTTTTTTCACAAAAAAATCCATATGAAAGATTTGACACTATATTTTAAATTCTATTATAAAATAGATTAAGTTAGCACTATGGTAAATTTAAATGGGTAATTATGGTTGCAAACTCCATTGGAAATTTGAATTGAGATTATGACCATATCTTGAGGGAAAGAATTTTTTGGGGGAAAAAGGGGGGGGGGGGGGTAAAAAGAAATTGTGGGGGGTCAATTTTTTCTCATTTCAGATTTCAGAAATTAAAAAGAATTATTCTTCAAATATTATTTTTTTTTCAAATTTCAAATATTGAAAAATTTCAAGAAGTAATCTTTAATTGCACAGTATGGCGCATTAGATTTGTAAAATCTTTGACCACATTTAATTATTTGTTATGCCGAATCTAACCGTGTATTTAGATTTTTAATTTTGGGTCCAGTTTTCAAATTGGTCTACATTAAGGTCCAAAGGGTCCAAAATTAAACTTTGTTTGATTTTAACAAAAAATGAATATATGGGGTTCTTTGATATGCTGAATCTAAACATGTATTTTGATTTTTGGCCCAGTTTCCAAGTTGGTCCAAATTGGGGCCCAAATAAAACTTTGTTTGATTTCAACAAAAATTGAATATTTGGGGTTCTTTGATATGCTGAATCCAATCATGTACTTAGATTTTTTATTTGTGGACCCCGCTATCAAATTGGTTCATATTGAGGTCAAAAGGGTCCAAAATTGAACTTTGTTTGATTTCATCAAAAATTGAATTATTGGGGTTCTTTGATATGCCAAATCTAACTGTGTATTTAGATTTTTAATTTTGGGTCCCGTTTTTTAAATTGGTCTACATTAAGGTCCAAAGGGTCCAAAATTAAACTTAGTTTGATTTTAACAAAAATTGAATTCTTGGGGTTCTTTGATATGCTGAATCTAAACATGTGTTTAGATTTTTGATTATGGGCCCAGTTTTCAAGTTGGTTCAAGTTGGGGTCCAAAATTAAACTTTGTTTGATTTCAACAAAAATTGAATATATGGGGTTCTTTGATATGCTGAATCTAAACATGTATTTAGATTTTAGATTTTTGGCCCAGTTTTCAAGTTGGTCCAAATTGGGATCCAAAATTAAACTTTGTTTGATTTCAACAAAAATTGAATATATGGGATTCCTTGATATGCTGAATCTTACCATGTATTTATATTTTTTATTTGTGGGCCTGCTATCAAATTGGTTCATATTGAGGTCAATAGGGTCCAAAATTAAACTTTGTTTGATTTCATCAAAAATTGAATTATTGGGGTTCTTTGATATGCCAAATCTAACCGTGTATTTAGATTTTTTATTTTGGGTCCCGTTTTTTAAATTGGTCTACATTAAGGTCCAAAGGGTCCAAAATTAAACTTAGTTTGATTTTAACAAAAATTGAATTTTTGGGGTTCTTTGATATGCTGAATCTAAACATGTGTTTAGATTTTTGATTATGGGCCCAGTTTTCAAGTTGGTCCAAGTTGGGGTCCAAAATTAAACTTTGTTTGATTTCAACAAAAATTGAATATGTGGGGTTCTTTGATATGCTGAATCTTACCATGTATTTAGATTTTTTATTTGTGGGCCCGCTATCAAATTGGTTCATATTGAGGTCAAAAGGGTCCAAAATTAAACTTTGTTTGATTTCATCAAAAATTGAATTATTGGGGTTCTTTGATATGCCAAATCTAAGCGTGTATTTAGATTTTTAATTTTGGGTCCCATTTTTTAAATTGGTCTACATTAAGGTCCAAAGGGTCCAAAATTAAACTTAGTTTGATTTTAACAAAAATTGAATTCTTGGGGTTCTTTGATATGCTGAATCTAAACATGTGTTTAGATTTTTGATTATGGGCCCAGTTTTCAAGTTGGTCCAAGTTGGGGTCCAAAATTAAACTTTGTTTGATTTCAACAAAAATTGAATATATGTGGTTCTTTGATATGCTGAATCTAAACATGTATTTTGATTTTGGATATTGGACCATAATAGGTAAATTAAAAAAATTCAAGTTCTTAGACCACATTCTTTCTGTGTCAGAAACCTATGCTGTGTCAAATATTTAATCACAACCCAAATTCAGAGCTGTATCAAGCTTGAATGTTGTGTCCATACTTGCCCCAACTGTTCAGGGTTCGACCTCTGCGGTCGTATCAAGCTGCGCCCAGCGAAGCATTGTATTTAAGTTTTCAACCCTTTACTCCTCAAATGAGGATTAATTTCCAGTAAGGCTGTTCCAGAATTAAACACATGGGGAGCCTTGGGAGGTACTTATTTTAGACACCAACCACCCATAATATAAAATTTCAATATACTATAAATTCAGAAACTATTGCGATTTCGACATGGCAGACCAAAATGTGAGAATAATTAATGAGATTTCAAGAAAAGCTGCATACAAATATATGTGTCAGATTTCAGAACTCGAGTTCTTATTATTGCGATACTCACCCCGTCACATTATTCGCAATAATAAAAACCTGGTAAAAATTTCTGAATTTACAGTACTAAGAATTCTTACAAAATTCTACGAAAGAGCAATCACCCACAATTAATTCAAGTGTTTGCCTCTAATCCCTCCTCAATTTAAGAACATCCCTTAGTTATATCTCATAGGATTAAGAATACAACTATTAAATTTTATTTCAGATGGTTTTAGAAAAGTTTCTCACATAGAACATGGAATCAAAGATGAAGCAGATGACCTAGAGTTCCAACACATGTACTTCATTAGAGGCCAGCAACATTTGTTAGATAAGATCAAAAGAAAAATAGCAGGGGTAATATTCAAATACATAGTATATATGTAAATATCAATGCTCTTTTGAGAAGGTTACTTTAAATTTAGTAAATTTACTTTTGATTAAAAATACTTATATCCTTGTCATATTAAAAGGGGTTAATGCACTGTGAAAATTTGAATAAAAAAACTAAATATGTATTTCACTTTTACAAAATATACAACATGTCTTTTTGTTCCCCCGCGTAACGCATTGCGTAGGACATGGAAATACCGGGCGTCTGTCAGTCCGTGTGTCCGTCCATCCAGTCTTGTTAGCGCTCTCACTGATACAATTCTTGCCAGATTTTTATAAAACTTATACTATAGGTTTATATCAGCAATATCTCGGACAAGTTCTATAATGGTGGACGATCGATTTTTTATGCCCCCGTCGTAGTGGAGGGGGCATTAAGTTTTACCCTTGTCTGTCTGTACTTCCGTCCGTACGTCCCAAAGTTGGTTTCCATTCTCTAACTTTAGTTTGCCTCAAATGTTATGAAACTTATACACAATGCTTATTACCACAAAACACAGATCAAGTTTGAATTTTGGTGGCATCACTTTAATTTTAAAAGAGTTATGCACCTTGGAAATATAAAATATGTGCATCGCGGGGGACATTGGAACTCTGTTCTTTTATTAAATTTTGAAATACATCACTGCATATAAGTCTTTGCTTAATATAATAAATGATTGGTTGATGCAGAAAAACAGGGACATATAGGAATGAAAAAAATATTAAAATAAAGATGTTAGGACTAAAGGTCTTAAATGAACAAATTTTCTATTTCAGTTACTGTACTGGTATTTTTTAATTTTAAAATATTCAAAACTATATTTACTTTTCAGACATCTGCACAAGTGAAAACCGAGCCACTCCAGGAAGTTCCACAACAAGATCTGGCCAATGTAATTACAGAAGTCCAAGTGATGAGAGAAAAACAAGAAACTGTCAATACAAAACTTCAGTCAATGAAGAGGTAATTAAAATACTCAATATGCTGCAAAAATACCTTAAGAAAATGTACTTTTATTATAATCAAGTTAATGTGAGACTACAAACAGATGTGTTGATACTGCATAAGAGCTTTGCCTGGATTTTCAGATACAAAAAAAAAAGGTCCTGGATTGTGTAAGCTATTTGTTGATTGCATAATTTAGATATGATAAAATTATAACAATGGTATAAAGCAATAAAGATAAGAAAATGACAGTGATCAAATTTTAAGGTATCAAAGCCATTTTGAAATTCCTGGTTATACAATTGTATTAAAGAGTATCTAGAGATTGATTGATTGATTATTGGTTGCTTAATGCCCAGTGGCAAATATTTCATACATGTTCAGGACAGGAACAAATAAACAATGAATACAATAGGTAGGTCTTGTAATAGAGGCCGTCTGGGATGAAGGTCGGGGAAATTGTTCTGTCACTGGAAAATGGGGGTACCTACTGACCGCTCAAAGAGTGCTGCAAGGGTTTTGAATGTGCAGAGAGCATGGCTCTATTTCTACACGAGGCATTGGATGAAACGCCCCCATTCTGACTGGATGTCTCTGTGTACTAGTACATCCTGCACAGCTAAACAGACGCCCTAGCCCTACTATGGCAAGGATTTTTTTGCAGGTCGGAAGGAGACCTAAGTGATCATATTTATATTCCCCAGTCACCCTTAGATGTGTGAATATCTAGAGAGTCCAAGCATAACCATTACTCCAAGATATACAAATAACATATTGCGTCACAAAGTGGTTTTGAAGTCTATAAATGAACACTGAATGTTTGGATAATTGTTTGTTAATGATGTACTTGTGTCTAGATCTTTTCATTAGTCAAATTTTCAATTATTTTATAGATTCTTTTATTCTTTATTAAATATGATCTAAACTTAACATGCAACCATATATTTTATTTTACAGAGAGAATGAGTTATTATGGAGAGAGGTAGCCTCTCTCAGACAGAAACATGTCAAACAGCAACAAATTGTCAACAAGTTAATCCAGTTCCTGATCCATCTAGTTGGAGGTCGATCTGGTATAGGCCTCAATTTGAATAGGAAAAGACCTCTTATGTTGTCAGACTCCAATCAAGCCTCACCGCCTGCTAAAATAAAGAAATATGCAAAGAATGATCTGCCTGTGTATTCTGTTCAGAGTGTAAGTAAACAAGAGTTACAATAAATTCTTACTATTCTCAATAATGACATGTAGGAAGAATGCCAATCACTAATAATGTAAAGTCGGAAATCGTTGCATGCATTTATTATTGCGATTTTTGAAGAATGGACACAAACTCAAGATTAATTATTGCGATTTAAGGAAAAACTGCATACATATATATGTATCAGATGTCATAATGCAAGTTCTTATTATTTCAATACTCACACAGTCGCATTATTCCCATTAATAAAAACTGCTCATTAATTTTTAAATTTACAATACGTTTTATTCCAACCATTCCTGTTCTATGAAAGTATTTAATTTAGACTGTGTTATATGACAATTTGTGCCTTATTGGGTATAAAATCTATGTCAGATGAGCAAAGGGATGAATCTTTTAATTGGGATACATTTTCATATCACAGCTGAGATAAATTTTATTAATGATAAAATGAATATATATATATATATATGTAGGTAGTGTGAAAAAATTTACTTAAAGAGTACATGCAAATGCTTGAAAAATGTCAAGCAGGCACAATGACCTTGACCCTTCAATGATGCAATGATCCAGTTTTCCCGTAATACATTTAAATGACGTCAATAATCAGCATATAGAGAAAGAGTTTTTTTTTCTGGTAATGGAAGTGATATGAATCAAACTTATTGAGAATGAGCTAGTTAATTGTAAGACTGGGAAGTTACTGACATTATCAAGTATCAAGTTTAAGGCTTGAAAGCCCTATGATATCGAGGAGTATTCCTTAAACAGTTTATGAAAAAATAGTGCATATGTAAAACATTCATTTAAAACAAGTTTAAATGAGCAATTTCAAAAAAAAGAATATAAAGGATTGAGGACAAATATGTGTTGTAGATTAGTGAAGTTTTCTGCTTTGTATTATCAATAAAGTGTCCATCATTAATAAAATTTGTTTGATGAAATATTTCAAGGTCATCGGTATGAATAAATAGTATTGTGTATTTAATAAAGCATTGAGTATTTGCAGTTCTGATTTGGTTTCAGCCTGAAAGTGCTCAGAATGCTGATGGAGGGCCTGTTATATCAGAACTACCAGATCAGGAGGTCTTTATGAATAGGAGTCCTGTAAACCAAACAGCAACTTCCAATTTGTCAGATGTAAGAATTAAATTGCTATTTCTGTGGATTCATTTATTGTAATGAATTGAGGAAAAAAGTTTTTTTCGTTGATATTTGATTTGGTCGTTTTTCAAAGTTTTCGTACCAGCCTATTAAAAACTTGCACTTCCTTGAACATTTTAATTCATGGTTTATATTTACCCAAGAAAATCCACAAAAAATGATATTCCATGAATAATGATGAATGCACAGTACCTAGGATAGAAAAGTCAAAAGAAAAGGTCATAAAGGAGAAATAAATCAAACAAATTATAAAGAATAAACTCATAATGAAATGTCTATTCTTTTATAATGATAATAATTATAATTCTTTATTTAAAGAGGGTTTATACACAGTTAGCTATAAAACTAATCTTCCCTGAGGCCCTCATGCAATACATTTATGGCTACTTATAGGTAATAAAACCTTTTAAAACTTAGAACTTTTACCAGAGTCAATCTTGAAAAACAAGAATATAAATCATCTTGAATATGTGAAACTAGTGTCTTCACTTATATGCAACATTGAATAGTTAAAAAATCACAAGAAAAATCCACTGTGAAAACAGCTAGAAATGTTATAACATGAAAAGAAAATTCTGCCATGTTAAGTTGATTTGCGATAATTTCATTATTGTCTTGTCTTATTACTTTCAGTTGAACATGTTGAATATTTCACAAGAAATGAAAAGTAAGAGAAATACAATAATTCCAAATGTCTTTTATCTCTTTGGACATTAGCTGGCAGATTGTTGATACAGTTAAGAAATTTGCCATAAAAAGTCACCATTACAAAAAAGTGGATCAGCTTTTGGTGTAAGCAATTTTGAAATACTACATTTACTTGTTCTAAAACTTTGCTTGATCATACATGAAATAATTTGTGACAACAATGTTAAATTGACTCATATTTATTTACTTATATATTTCAGAACAAATCAACATTAACAGCTGAACCTACATACACAGCAGAGCAATTGCCTAACAAACTGGTATAATAATTTTTTTAACTGAAGAAATATGACATTAAGTACAAATTTAAAATCATAGTTTTAGATCCTCTATCTGGGGTACCTTGTTTTTTGAGGGGTAATTGGATGTATTTTTATACGCCTGTTTACGGGACGTTTTATGGTATACCGTTGTCCGTCCGTCCTTCATCAACATGTTGGACAATAATTCAAAAATGCTTTAACCAATTTGCATGAAACTTTAGTGAATTGTTTATATCTATAGACGTGAGCTTTTTTTCGATTTTTATAAATTTTCGATTTTAAGTTTCCGAGTTGTGGGGTTTTTGCAGAGCCTGCGACTTAGGCATAGGGATAGTGATCCGCCTGCAGCAGCGGTGGCGTTATATAACTACTTAAAACCTTAATATTTCAGAAGGTAGAAGACCTGGATGTTTCATACTTTGTATATAGATCCCTTATGTTATGAAGTTTCCGTCAGTCATATGTCATTTGTCCTTGACCTCATTTTCATGGTTCAGTGACTACTTGTAAAAAAAGTTTAAGATTTTTTGAAATATCAATTTCTCTCTTATTATGAGTAATAGGATAACTATATTTAGTATGTGCATACCTTGCAAGGTCCTCGTGCCTGTCAGACAGATTTCATCTGACCTTGACCTCATTTCATGGATCAGTGAACAAGGTTAAGTTTTGGTGGTCAAGTCCATATCTCAGATACTATAAGCAATAGGTCTACTATATTTGGTGTATGGATTGATTGTAAGGTGTACATGTGCAACTGACAGGTGTCATCTTACCTTGACCTCATTTTCATGGTTCAGTGCTTAAAGTTGAGTTTTTGTGTTTTGGTCTGTTTTTCCATTCATACTATATGCAATAAGTCAACTATATTTGGTGTATGGAAATATTTTACCATGTACATTTCACTCTGGCAGGTTTTATTTGACCTTGACCTCATTTTCATGGTTCATTGCTCAGTGTTAAGTATTTAACTGTATTTTCAAGGAAAAATCGGTTATTGATTTGGGGATGTACGGCGAGCGGGCGGCTGCCATACAGTGTCCGTTCATTAACATGAAAACGCTTTGACGAAATCTTTACAAATTTAGATATGTTGTTTCCTGTGACTAAATGAAGGTCTTATTCAATTTTCACGATTTTAGCTGTTCTGGTTGTTGAGTTGTAGACCTTTCAGTAGCAAAAGTGATACCTATTATATGATTTATTTATTTTGAGTTATTTCCCTTTGAACAGAAATGGTGTAATTAATAAGTATATGGATAGATAGTCTATCAATGATTTTATCTGTTTTATTCATGCAATAATTTCCACCTTTTATCAAGATAACAAACATGTGGTAATTTTCAACTAACAAAATTACAATTGGAGTGACAGATTTATTTGAAAATTTTGTGTTTCCTTAGTGTTGTTGATGATATACTCTGTAGGACTGTATAAATATAGTTTGAAATTTACTGCTCATTATTATATATTTTGAAATTAATTACAGATAAGTTTTATAGATTAATATTAATTATTATTATAGTATTAATGATAAATGATATTTTGGAAAAAAAAAATTTTCTTTTTTTTTTGGTAAATGTTTTGAAGAATTTTGTGGTAGGCTTGTTTGTTATTAACTGGATTTTCGAAGTAAAAACCGGTTATTGATTTGGGGATGTACAGCGGGCGGGCAGGCAGCTGCCAAACAGTGTCCGTTCATTTACATGAAAACGCTTTGAAGAAATTTTTTCAAATTTAGATATGTTGTTTCCTGTGACTAAATGAAGGTCAAGTTCAATTTTCACGATTTTGCTATTCTCGTTATTCAGTTATAGCCCTTTTCCAAGAATTCAATTTTTGATAAATTAATCCATTTCTGTACAAAGGGTATAACTAATTTTTATACGACCGCAAAAAAATTTTTGTGGTCGTATATTGGTATGACGTTGTCGTCGTCGTCGTCGTCGTCGTCCGGCGTCGTCGTCCGAATACACATTAGTTTTCGCACTCTAACTTTAGTTTAAGTGAATGGATCTCATTGAAATTTTACCATAAGGTTCAATACCACAAAAGGAAGGTGGGGATTGATTTTGGGGGTTATGGTACTAACAGTTAAGGAATTAGGGGCCAAAAGGGGCCAAAAATAAGCATTTTTGTAACTTCCAGACATAACTTGTGTGTAAGTGTATGGATCTCTCTGACATTGTACCACAAGGTTCCATATCACAAAGGGAATGCTGGGATTGATTTTGGGGGTAATTGTCTCCAAATTTTAGGAATTAGGGGTCAAAAATGGGCAAAAAACAAGCATTTTTCTAGTTTCATGACAATAACTTGTTTGTAAGTGTATGGATCTTTATGAAATTGTACTACAAGGTTCCATATCACAAAGGGAATACTGGGATTGATTTTTGGGGTAATTTCCTCCAAATATTAGGAATTAGGGGCCAAAAAGGGGCAAAAAACAAGCATTTTTCTAGTTTCATGACAATAACTTGTTTGTAAGTGTATGGATCTTTATGAAATTGTACTACAAGGTTCCATATCACAAAGGGAAGGCTGGGATTGATTTTGGGGGTTTTCCCTCAAAATTTTAGTAATTAGGGGCCATAAAAGGGCAAAAAAAACATGCATTTTTCTAGTTTCAGGACAATAACTTGTGTGTAAGTGTATGGATCTTTATGAAATTGTACTGCAAGGTTCCATATCACAAAGGGAAAGCTGGAATTGAGTTTGGGGGTAATTGCCCTAAATGTTTAGGAATTTGGGGCCAAAAAGGGGCCAAAAAACAAGCATTTTTCTAGTTTCCAGACAATAACTTGTGTTCAAGTGTATGAATCTCTCTGAAATTGTACTGCAAGGTACCATACCACAAAGGGAAAGCTGGGATTGAGTTTGGGGGCGATGAATCATAAGGGGGTTCAAAAAATTGGGGGGGGGATTTTTTTTTTCATCTTTTTTCTTTAACATTTTCCATTTTAAATTGGTTATTTCTGATTTATATATAAAAGCAAATAATAATGATATGGTTTGAATAGGCATACATGTGAACCTCCCGACGGGAGTACAATAATCCCGTTTTCAGGGGTCTCCTCCCCCCCTCCCGTTGAAAAAATCCCGTGTATGAAATATTTCATGAATGAAAAATTTCTGCCCAACATAACATCTCAGGCATCTGGTGTAACTGACATTACCTGAAGTTATATTTTACCTGTAAATCAATTAACATGCATAATTATATGGCTTCACTTGTCAGCTTGGGTGTCAAACATACTGGTAAGCAACGATTTTTACCTCAGGCTAACTGCCGTTGTGTAACAAAAACTGTGTATTTATTGGGTTACTTCCCTTGATTTATCCTGTTTTAAGTTACTTTCCTTTTAATAATGAAAATTTTTAAAAGAATATAAATAAAATATAAATTGAACAAATAATCATAAAAGAATGGTTATTAAATGATTTTAAATGTCTTAGGACAAATAAAAAAATAATAATTTGAAAATTATTTGAGGATTCTATACTTCCTTTTAAGGCTTAAATTGAAATTTATATAATAACTATGACCCTAACTTTACAGATAGAATGAATTTCTGAGTTTGCAAATAAAAACTATTTGCAAGAGAAAAAAAAAAAAATAAAAACTATTTGCAGACAGCTAAACAAATGTTCTGGTTGCAATGATTGTTTTATAGAATAAGAAGTAAAAAATTTAAAGAACATACTGGAAAAAAACAATGTTAGATTGAACATGTAGAATATAAAGATGGAGAAACTTTATAAGTACAAGGGTACTATAAACATAATAAATTGGTTGGAAAGTTGAAGAAAACACGCTTTAAAAGACCATTTTTACAGCACACGGTTACATTTACAACAAAATTAATGTCGATTAAAAACCTCCTGATCTGAGTCCTAATCTCCTGACCAAAATTTCCCAATCTCCTGATCTGAGTTTCACAGTCCATCACATGTATGAATAGGTAAATTGAAAATTTTTAAGTTCTTAGACCACTTTCATTCTGTGTCAGAAACCTATGCTGTGTCAAATATTTAATTACAATCCAAATTCAGTGCTGTATCAAGCTTGAATGTTGTGTCCATACTTGCCCCAACTGTTCAGGGTTCGACCTCTGCGGTCGTATCAAGCTGCGCCCCAGTGGAGCATTTTATTTAAAAGATTTTTAAAAGACATTGTATTAATAATAAATGACATTTTTGGATTTTTATGACCCCGCCGTAGCGGAAGGGGCATTAAGTTTTACCCTTGTCTGTCTGTACATATGTACGTACGTACGTACGTCCGTCCCGCTGTCTGTACGTCCCAAAATTGGTTTCCGTTTTCTTACTTGAGTTTGCCTCAACCAAATGTTATGAAACTTATACACAATGCTTATAACCACAAAACAAAGATCAAGTTTGAATTTTGGTGGCATCACTTTAACCGTTCTAGAGTTATAAAATTGAGAATGGAAATGGGGAATGTGTCAAAGAGACAACAACCTGACCATAGAGCAGACAACAGCCGAAGGCCACCAAAGGGTCTTCAATGCAGCGAGAAACTCCCGCACCCGAAGGCGTCCTTCAGCTGGCCCCTAAACAAATATGTATACTAGTTCAGTGATAATGGATGTCATACTAAACTCCAAATTATACACAGGAAACTAGAATTAAAAATGATACAAGACTAACTTATGCCCCTTTATAAATGGAAAAATTGCAAAATTTTTAGTTTCCGTTCTCTAACTTAAGTTTGCCTCAACCAAATGTTATAAAACTTATACACAATGCCTATTACAACAAAACACAGATCAAGTTTGAATTTTGGTGGCATCAGTTTAACCGTTCTAGAGTTATGCCCCTTTATAAATGGAAAAATTGCAAAATTTTTAGTTTCCATTCTCTAACTTAAGTTTGCCTCAACCAAATGTTATGAAACTTATACACAATGCTTATTACCGCAATACACAGATCAAGTTTGAATTTTGATGGCATCACTTTAACTGTTCTAGAGTTATGTCCCTTTATAAATGGAAAAATTGCAAAATTTTTAGTTTCCGTTCTCTAACTTGAGTTTGCATCAACCAAATGTTATGAAACTTATACACAATGCTTATTACCACACAACACAGATCAAGTTTGAATTTTGGTGGCGTCACTTTAACTGTTCTAGAGTTATGGCCCTTTATAAATGGAAAAATTGCAAAATTTGTATTTTCTTCTAAATGTCAAGTAATTTTAAAATTGGAGTTATCTTCCTTTGTCCATGATTATAGTTGAATCAACTACAATCAATGCTTTATACAATGCAATGTTTAATTTTGACTTCCAGTGATAAAACACAGATCAAGTTGAATTTGGGTAGTGTCACTTTAACCATTATTGAGTTATGCCCCTTTATAATTCGAAAGATTGCAAAATTTTTAGTTTCCATTCTGTAACTTAAGTTTGCCCCAATCAAACATTATGATACCTATACACAATATTCATTACCACAAAACTAAGATCAAGTACAAATTTTATTGTTTCCGTTTTCTAACTTTAGTTTGCCTCAACCAAATGTTATGAAACTTATACACAATGCTTATTCCTACATAATACAGATTAAGAACGAAATTTGGTGGCAACACATTTACCATTCTTGCGTTATGTCCCTTTATAAACATAAAAATTGCTGAATTTTTAAGTTTGTCTCAACCAAATATTATAAAACTTACACACAACCGTTCTACAGTTATGCGTGTTTACAAATAGAAAAATTGCTGAATTTTTAGTTTCTGTTCCCCTTCTTAAGTTAGCCTCAACCAAATGTTATGAGACTTACACACAATGCTTATTACCACAAAACTCAGATAAAGTTCAAATTTGGGTAGCGTCACTTTTATTGTTCTTCAGTTATGTCCCTTTATAACTATATGATATGCAAGCGGGGGCATCATCTGTGTCCACATGTGGACACTATCCACATTTATTTTTCTTTTCTTCGGTAAATTGTTTGAAGAATTTTGTGGTAGGTTTGTTTGTTATTCTGTATTAACTAATTTTCTGAATGCTATATATATAAATTTTTTTTATGAAGTGAACTCCTTTAATTAGATAATTATCTATTTTTATTAAAGGATATATTTCATTACATTTAAAGTTGTTGACATTGATAGATAATTTGCAGATCTATATTAGTTTTGGAAAAATGAAAGAAAAAATATTTGGAACTGTTTATTATATTTGATTATAATTCGAAAATAGATATACATTGTGTTTCATCATATCTAATTTTAGAGAACTATTTTTAGTGATTAAATCATATCTAATGTTCAGGCCTGGGGTAATGGTAATTTTTAATTGTACTGCATTGTAATATTACATTTTTTTTGATGTAATGCAAAGTAATTTGTAATGCACATTTTCTGCATTACAATTACATGTAATTTAATGATTACTTTAGTTAAAAATCAATGTAATGCCTCCATTACTGTACATTACTTTTCATTACAAATTGGTAAAATACATAAAATTGAAGAATATAGTAAAATAAAATTAAATATTAACAAAAACAAAAGAAAATATTGAATAACATTATTGTCACAGTTAATTACTGTATTAAATCATTATAGATAGTTTGCCCTTAAAAAATCTTCTAAAAATAATTATTAAACAAAACTATATAGATGAATGAACAAAATATGAAGATGAAATTTTCATAATTCTATACACATCTTACATGTATTTCAATGAAAGATTGAATATGTCAATCAACGGTGTCATCCTGGTTTGCCCACTTTTAATTACATGCATATGTAAACATAGGGGGGATTGTTGTTTTAACAATTATAGTTTATTTCTGATTATAGTCATATTTTTTACCTATTATTTTACCTGTAAAATTTTATGAAAGATATTATATTCTGCTATTAAATCAAGGAAAATGTGCAAAAATATTTTATATTTGATATAATTTTTAGCAGGAAAATATATTGAATTTGACAAATAGAAAAAAAATGTTAAAAAATGTGTACAAAATTTATCAACAAATAGTTTTGATTATTGGTACATTCTGAAAAAAGTAAAATAATGAAACTAAGAAAAGATTAGAATAAATGTCATTTGAATTTCTTTTATTTATTCAACTTATTCTTTTTTAAATTTTTATAAATACACTGTTCTGAAATTTAATATAAAACAATATCCTATCAATTCTAACAAATAGAATATAAATGCAACTGTTCAGTAGCCAAGCTTTTTATATGACACAATTTGAACAGTATTAACTCTTATAATTTCCACCCCACCTAGTTGCGGATGTTTGGCTAACAACTTTAGAATACATAGGTGAAGCTGACAACATACCCGTAACAACATCATTTACTGATTACGTGACAGAGTTCTAGGTTGAATGATACCACTTTCTTTGGAACCACTACTACACAGAAGGACCACGCATCACCTGGAAGGATGGCACAACAAAATCAAGAAGAGACACCAACATGCCCACCCTTACATCTATGAGATCATTGAGTTACTGAAGAAGACCCATGCACTAACAGAATGTAATACTATCCAGTATGCAGCAGGAGGAGCCCGCCCACCAAAAAGACGAAGATACAGAGTAATAGATACCAGACTCCAACTACTGAAAGACAGATACCAACAAGGACTCATCAACGCGATAGACTACTCTGACTCAGCATCCCATCTTCTTCATTTGAACTGAATAACTTAGTGAAATATTGTAATTTGTGACTTTTGATATGTATATAAAAGATTGTATTTCCCATCATTATACATATAGTGCCCCATATTACTTATTTTGACATGTGCTTTATTCATTTCCTTAATATGCAATACATTTATGAACTTGATTCATATACATATATATTATATATATTGGTGTATTTATATCATGAAAATAATTCAGAAACTAGTGAATTATAAAGACACTTTTATTATGAATGTCATTGTTGTGTCAATAGTTGTACATGTAAGTTAAATTAATCCATTGAATTGATATTAAATTATTGAGAAAAAATATTTAATTTAATTATTATTTTTCTATACGAATGAAAATGAAAGTACAAAATAAAAAATACCTGAATATATAGAAAACACTAATAAACTATATTCCTAAGTTGGAACAGACTATACAATTGTATGCTCATTAAACCTTTTGTCTTTTTTGTTTTCTTTACTAACAGATAATTGGTATAATTAAAAGTGGGCAAACCAGGAGTAAACCCAATCAACATTTTTAAACAAAACTGTGGTTGTTATTTTACCTAATTAATATCAAAATGTTTTTATTGCAATCAAATCTTCTCAACTTATGTTTGTCCTCACAGAGCCCTTAGGCATTTAACAAGATAATCCTTTAATGACACATTTATTACATCCCTTTGAAATCCCTTTATGATGTCTTAATGATTAAGTGATCAATGTTAGAAACAAAAATTATATGATAATTTATTTATTTTTCAAGTATTTGAAGTCTATGTCACTAACACTGTATATATATATGTACATATACCCCGGTAATATTTATCAATTTCTTATAAAAATCTGTTTTTAAAAAGTTTTTATATTGAAAAAGTAATGTGTAATGTAATGCATTACACAAACAAAGTAATTGTAATGTAATGCATTACATGTGAGAAAAAATGTAATTGTAATTGTAATGGAAGAATCACAAAGTAATTGTAATGTAATGCATTACATTGCAATGTAATGGCCCCAGGCCTGCTAATGTTAGAGTACTATGTTAAACCATATTTCTGTTCAAAGGGAAATAACTCAAACTTATTCCATGAACCAGTAATGATAACATCAAAATTTCTTTATAACTATTTTTTTTTAAGTCATGTGTGTTATGAAGGTAGATGTCACAGTTGTTATGTGGTATTTTATTTTTGTTGTGTGTGTTATTGTTTAATTTTTACATGATCCTGTTTGGGGTTCAGATTTGCAAATATCATTTTCATTATTAATTAGATAATAATCTATTTTAAATATTCAATCACAATCCAAATTCAGAGCTGTTTTAAGCTTAAATGTTGTGTCCATGCTTGCTCAACTTTCAGGGTTTGACCTCTGCAGGAAAATCCGGTTTGCTGTCACTTGACAGCCTCTTGTTCTGTATAAACTAATTTTCTGAATGCTATATTTTTTAAGAATAGAACTTGGAAGACATCAATTCCTTTGTCATCACTAGTATATTCTTTCCTCGAGCATGTTATCCATCAATATATATTTTAGAGAATTGAAACAGAAATATAATGAAACCTTTGAACTTTTTTTTAATGTTCAATTGATTTGTATATTAATAATTGTAGGATTTATCCTCCAATGATTGGAAGCTTCCATCTGACCTGCTACATGTAGCCAGTGATATACTAGACTTGCAGGATTTAAAAGATTTACCTACAGATCTGAACACACCATTACCATCAATTAATCCCCCATTCTCTGGTGACCCTACTACAGATACTAACTATCTGTCAGGACTGTTACCAACCACATCTCCAGATAGTTCCATTAATCAGTAAGTACTTTGATTGTATCATGCAATCTTGTGGAATCATTATTTTAATGTGTTCCATCACTAAAGAAATGTCTCAATGTACAACAAACTTAATTTTCAGAAAAGACATATATTATGAATATAATCCTGCAAAACGCTAAGCGTCTAAATGGTATCCATTGATAATTTTGGAGATAGTCATGTTTAACTTAGCATACAAAAGGATGCGATCTGAGCATCTTCATAATATCCATTGAAAAGTTTATCATATTTTACATTTAGGCATTATTTAAATATTTGAAGAAAAAGGAAATGTATATGAATAAAAGGAGGTATGCTGACAGAACAAAACCAAAAATATACTAAAAATCTAAAGGTCAATATTTTGTCTTTTACAATAAACAGATGTTTTTAACATTCACATAGCAGCATTTAAGTTTATGAAGGAAGACAAAATTATATTGTTTTTTCGTATATTTACAGGAGTTTACAGCAAAAAGTGAAACCAGCATTTGGTAGACAACAGTCAATGTAAGTCTTTATTATGGGGTCTCCTATAGCAGTGTGTGTGTGTCGTTGCAAAAGGGTCTAAGTTACTCCTTTATATAAAAGAGATGATTAAAGGGTTATATCAGGGGGAAAAACCTGTAATGTAAGAGCTATATATTTTAAAAAAGGTCCTGTCACAGTATATACATGTATGTTCTATATTAGTACTTATTTTATGCTACTTAAATATGCTGTGTTCAAAAAGTAAAAGACATTATTTTTAAAGTTTGCTGATCTACTTGGTTCAACCTTATGCATAGTTCAGCATTATATGTGCAATAACTTTCATTGCTTCTTTTTATGCCCCCGCCGTAGCGGAGGGGGCATTATTAGTTATCTTGGTGTAATCAGGGGTGTACAGAATTTTCAACAAGGGTGTAAAATTCTGTACACCCCTGATTACACCAAGATAACGAATTTATTTCTTATGAACAATTCCTTTACTCATTTTTAAACCGGGATGTAAAATTGAAAAATGCTAATGAAAAATTTCCAGTGGAACATTTTTTTCAACGATGATGTTGCTGCGTATTGTCAGATACTTTTTTTCTTTATTTTTGGGAAATTCAGAAAAAAAAATTTTGTTCTTTTGAATTTTTGGGAAAACAAAATTTTTTTAATTTTTTTTTAATTTTTTTTTTAATTCTTGTCCTCAAATTTATTATTTTTTTTTTTTTTTTTATATTTTATTTTTTTACTTTATTTTGGCAAATTTTTTATTTTTTTATTTTTTGGCAAAATTTTATTTATCCCGGGGTGAACAAGGGTAGGGTGTTATTTACACCGGGGTAATTAACCAATCAGATTGCAGTATTTTTGCTGCACAAGAAATAATAAGTTTTACCCTTGTCCGTCTGTAAGTCTGTCCGTCCGTCCGTACGTCCCAATATTGGTTTCCGTTCTCTAACTTTAGGTTGCCTCAACCAAATGTTATGAAACTTATACATAATGCTTATTAACACAAAACACAGGTCAACTTTGAATTAGGGTGGCGTCTCTTTTACTGTTTTAGAGTTATGTCCCTTAACAAATGGAAAAATTGCTTAATTTTTCGTTTCCGTTCCCTAACTTAAGTTTGCCTCATCCAAATGTTTTGAATCTTATACACAATGCTTATTACCACAATACACAGATCAAGTTTGAATTTTGGTGGCGTCACTTTTACTGTTCTAGAGTTATGCCCCTTTACAAATGGGAAAATTGCTAAATTTTTCATTTTTTTTCCAAAAATATCAATGTCATTATTCAAGTAATTTTTAAAATTGGAGTTATCTTCCTTTGTCCATGATTATAGTCAAATCGACTACAGTCAATGCTTTATACATTGCAATGTTTAAATTGGCCTTCCACTGATAAAACACAGATCAAGTTGAATTTGGGTAGTGTCACTTTAACCATTATTGAGTTATGCCCCTTTATTAATCGAAAAAAATTGCAAAATCTTTAGTTTCCATTCTGTAACTTAAGTTTGCCCCAACCAAACATTATGAAACCTAAACACATTACTCATTACCACAAAACTAAGATCAAGTACAAATATTGTTTCAGTACTCTTACTTTAGTTTGCCTGAACCAAATGTTATAAAACTTATACACAATGCTTTTTACTACATAATACAAATTAAGTACGAAATTTGGTGGTGTCACTTTTACCATTCTTGAGTTATGTCCCTTTATAAACATAGAAATTGCTGAATTTTTCGTTTCCGTTCTCTAACTTTAGTTTGTCTCAACCAAATGTTATAAAACTTATACACAACCGTTCTAGAGTTATGCGTGTTAACAAATAGAAAAATTGCTTAATTTTTCGTTTCTGTTCTCTACAAAACTCAGATCAAGTTCAAATTGGGTAGCGTCACATTTACTGTTCTTCAGTTATGTCCCTTTATAACTATATGATATGCAAGCGGGGGCATCATCTGTGTCCACATGTGGACACAATCCACATTTATTTTTAATTTATTTTTGTTTAATAGTTATAAGTTGAAATAATCGCTAAACTTCATGTTGGTAAAGATGGAAACTTAAATCCACAGGGATTATGTAAGTGATATGATTCAGGTTATGCAGAAAAATAATATAAGATTCTCTTAAAGAGGGTCTGGATGAGGGGTCCTTCATTTCTGTATTATTTAATTTTTTAGATTAATTTTTTACTTCTCTTTATATTTTTGCATTCCATTATCTCTATTCTTTATTTATTTTGTGTAATTTTTCTGTAGTATTGACCCATTATTCTCTATTCTGTAAACCCCAGACCCTCATAAAAAAGAACCAATCAGTTATTTTAATAAGTACTGTATTGTCTAAAATTAACAATGCTGCACAAATAGGAAAAGTTAAAAAAAATCAAAAAGTTGGGCAACAATACTGATAAAAGATAATAACATATGAACAAGATGAAAAAAAGTAGTAATAAATATGTGGATCCTTTTTATATGCCAGACTAAGAAGGGACATATTATAGTATAATGTAGTCTGTTCATTTGTCCGTATGTCAACACTTTGTACTATAACTCAATTTTTCTCTAAACTTTTCTCATGAAACTTGAACACAACATTAGGATTGACGGGAGAATGATTCTTTTTGATTGAAGCAATTTCCAGTTTTTCAATTCAGAGTTGTGGGACTTTATTCATGGAAAATTGGACATTTTCTCAAATGTTGTACAATATTTCCACTTTGCTCTTCTCCTGAAATTCTATCACTGGGCTAGAACAAAGTAAGCTCCCTTTAAATTGTCATGATTTTAACTTTTGTCATGAGTTATGGTACTTTATTCATGAAAAATTTAATGGTTATTTTTCACATATGGCACATTTACTCTAATATGCTTGAATTTAATTCTTCCAACTTTACACTGTCGTTGAGTTTGATGAAAGGAAACACCTTTTGATTCATAAAATTTTCTGGGTTTCCCTCCCTGAGTTACAGGACTTTAACCATCAGTTTTAATTCAATTTTGTTTACATGTCATGCACTATCCTTACTATGCTTTGAAGTAATTACTACAAATTTACAATTTTGTTGGGATTGGTAAATGCAGACTTGCTTTTGATTTTGAAAATTTTCTGGTTTGTCTCTCCAGAGTAATGGGACTTTTTAACAGTCAGATCTAAGGTTATATCCAAACACCAAAGGGTATCCTTATGCAAGGTTTTCAACAGCGCCATACTTACCAACTTCTAATAAGATGTCTTCTAAATATTTCATTTTATTCTGGGAACAATTCCAATATTCACAAGAACTGTGTATCATGATAGTTATAACTTGTCTACCAAAAAATTCAAACATGAGATGGGTATTAAATTTCTTGCAATCATTTAATTTTATTTGAATACTTCAAATGTAAGTAGTTGGGATTGTACAGATTGATAAATATATCGCTATACAATTTTTGCTTTATTTTTGCAGATTGATAAATGTATTGCATACAATTTTTGCTTTATTTTTGCAGGTTAATAAATATATTGCTATACAATAACTGTTATATTTTAGACATGACCTGAATGATCATGTTGACACACTACAGTATGACTTGGATGGGTTACGTGATGTCTTATCCAGCAATCAGTACAGTATAGATCCATCATTTCTCTTAGGGGTAAGTGGATATTTATGCTAGTTTTTTAATCACTTATGGGAGTAGGTATTAATTTAGCTTTTGTTTGAATCAGTATCTTTTCAGATTATTAATTGTTAGATGTTTGATTTATAAAAACGTGTTTAAGAGTTTTCATGCCTTATATAGCTGCTTTTATGGAGATCTCATGCATTGATTTTTATGCCCTACCTACGAGGGGCATTATGTTTTTCGGTCTGTGCATCCCTTCGTTCGTCCATCTGTCCATCTGTCCCGCTTCAGGTTAAAATTTTTGGTCATGGTAGTTTTTGATGAAATTGAAGTCCAATCAACTTGAAACTTAGTACACATGTTCCTTATGATATGATCTTTCTAATTTTAATGCCAAATTAGAGTTTTGACCCCAATTTCACAGTCCACTGAACATAGAAAATGATAGTGCGAGTGGGGCATCTGTGTACTATGGACAGATTCTTGTTTTTCATGTCTTGTGTATATTAACAATGTGGTATGATTGCAGTTTGAAACGTTGATTTACGCATCTATAGGTCACTAAATGGCCATCAACAAGGAGCAAAACTTATACCATATACTGTAAATTAAGAAATTAGTGCGAGGTTTTTATTAATGCGAATAATGCGACTGGGTGATTATCACAATAATAAGAACTCGCATTCTAATATCTGATACATACAACTATATGCATATTTCCCTGAGATTGCAATAATGAATGTTGCATTTTTGTTCTGTTTTCAAAAATTGCAATAATAAATGCATGCAATAATTTCTGAATTTACAGCAGTATAGGCCTTGTATAACAAAACTTGAAACAATTCAAACAAGAAAACACCTGTCTGATTTATGTTAAAACAAACAAAAACACAAAACAAATATGACAGACAACTAAGTTAAAACAAGTTGCCTGATGACCTAAGGCGACTTTACAGAAATATCTTGCTCAAAATTTCCCCATAAGAAGGAAGCTTTATCAGGGTTAATAATCTGAAGTGATATTGATTGAAAAACTATGCAAAAAGTCTTCCTTTTATTCATATCTTTTTTTAAAAAATAACACATAGAACCTTTGGTTAATATTATAAAGGAAGATTATCGTCCATTAAAATTTTGTTCAGGCCAGTAAATAATTATTGTTCACTACCTGAATGTTAAGTGTACCAGCACTCGTGCCAACTTTGAATTTGAACAAAATATTAGTGATAAGAACAGAGTTATCTTTCTTTGTTTTTAGACTTGCATTTTGTTTATTTTTTCAGCTTTTTAAAACAGAATCAACGTTAAATGAACAAGATGTAAATAATGTATGTTTGATTTTATCCTTTGATTTTTCACTGAGATATTTAGCTTTATTCCTTTATATATAGCTATGTGCATATGTTATATTTATTTTTTTTAAATTTATAAATTTCTATTGTTTCATGTACTTGCTTTAACTAATAGAAATGAAATATTTTTTATGGACATTTTTGTGAATATTTTTACTTTTAATATGGGAAGATTTGTGTAAAGTTGATGATTAACTAAACTTAAATAAGTACTAATATACATTCAATTTTTGTATTTGTATATATATATATAATTTTTATATGTGTGCATGCAAAACAAATTTCTTCGTAGAGGGGTCTAAATACAGCACAAACAACATTTTCCAAAAGACCAAAAAAGTGAAAAAGTATATTTAAACAAAACGCATTTGACTAACAGGTCGAACAACGGATGTTCTTTAACCCTGCTGACTGCCATTGGCGATTGCCAAATAAACAGATCACAAGATGTAACAAAATAGATCTTATTATTAATTTATTACCAAACAGAAAACAATAAACTTGCGGAAAAGATGGTATACTGCAAACATGAGGTGCATAAATTTGTACACAATATCCGGATTTCGACAATTAATGTCTCTTCAGTGATGTTAGGAATCAAAACGGTATTTGGAAGGCCATATAATTTACCTCAATTTATATATTATAAGATAAATGAAAACATAGAAAGAACGGTCAACTTAATGTAATTTAACTAAACATTGTTAAACATAAGATCAAGCTGAAAGAGATAAGCTATTTTATAAATCTGTAAATGATTCTTAAACAAACATATATAATATTATTACTTTAATGTAAGATTTAAATGTTTTTGTTTATAGGTGATCAACATCATGGACCCAGACAATGTAAAAAATGATGATCATGAACACGATGAGAATGGACTCAATGCTTCAGGTGAAAAGAATTACACTTTGAAAATACAAATACTGTGTCAAAACGAATAAATTATACTTTGAAAATACCAATACTGTGTCAAAACGAATAAATTACACTTTGAAAATACAAATACTGTGTCAAAACGAATAAAGAATAGAAGAAATGCAGAAATTATTGCATGCATTTATTGCGATTTTTCAAAAATGGACAAGAATGCGAATTTAATTATTGCGATTTCAGAAAAATATACATACAAATCTATATTTTACCTAGTCACTTTATTGGCATTAATAATTTATATATATAATAACCTCACAATCATTTATATATATAATAACCTCGCAATCATTTATATATATAATAACCTCGCAATAATTTATATATATAATAACCTCACAATCATTTATATATATAATATATATATAATAACCTCGCAATCATTTATATATATAATAACCTCGCAATCATTTATATATATAATAACCTCGCAATCATTTATATATATAATAACCTCGCAGTCATTTATATATATAATAACCTCGCAATCATTTATATATATAATAACCTCGCAATCATTTATATATATAATAACCTCGCAATCATTTATATATATAATAACCTCGCAATCATTTATATATATAATAACCTCGCAATCATTTATATATATAATAACCTCGCAATCATTTATATATATAATAACCTCACAATCATTTATATATATAATAACCTCGCAATCATTTATATATATAATAACCTCGCAATCATTTATATATATAATAACCTCGCAATCATTTATATATATAATAACCTCACAATCATTTATATATATAATAACCTCTCAATCATTTATATATATAATAACCTCGCAATCATTTATATATATAATAACCTCGCAATCATTTATATATATAATAACCTCTCAATCATTTATATATATAATAACCTCTCAATCATTTATATATATATATAATAACCTCACAATCATTTATATATATATATAATAACCTCACAATCATTTATATATATAATAACCTCTCAATCATTTATATATATAATAACCTCTCAATCATTTATATATATAATAACCTCTCAATCATTTATATATATAATAACCTCTCAATCATTTATATATATAATAACCTCACAATCATTTATATATATAATATATATATAATAACCTCGCAATCATTTATATATATAATAACCTCACAATCATTTATATATATAATAACCTCACAATCATTTATATATATAATATATATATAATAACCTCGCAATCATTTATATATATAATAACCTCACAATCATTTATATATATAATAACCTCACAATCATTTATATATATAATAACCTCACAATCATTTATATATATAATAACCTCGCAATCATTTAAATATATAATAACCTCGCAATCATTTATATATATAATAACCTCACAATCATTTATATATATAATAACCTCACAATCATTTATATATATAATAACCTCACAATCATTTATATATATAATATATATATAATAACCTCGCAATCATTTATATATATAATAACCTCGCAATCATTTATATATATAATAACCTCACAATCATTTATATATATAATAACCTCGCAATCATTTATATATATAATAACCTCGCAATCATTTATATATATAATAACCTCGCAATCATTTATATATATAATAACCTCGCAATCATTTATATATATAATAACCTCACAATCATTTATATATATAATAACCTCACAATAATTTATATAAAATGTGAAACACACTGAGGTGTATCATAATACCAAAAAAAATGGTACACTACACACTCACACTGAGTGAGGGGTTACACGATTTTAAGCACTGTACAAAATTAGTGTTTTGGGATCATGTTACAGAGACGAGACATAACTCTGTGTTAACATTTTATTGATTGAACATACAACATAGTGCAGCAAGGTGAACATTCTTTAGATCATATCCTTACCATTGTCAAACAATTTATCAAATAACCTGCAAAGTGATGTGTATGTTTATTATTCTTCTTGTCAAGAAAACTATTTTATTACAATTACACAAGTTTCAAAAAGAATCTATCTGCTCTACCTACATCTACGATCAAAAGCAGGTTCTGTTGATTCATTGTTATTCGTGGTATACCAATTTTCACGGATTTCGTGGGTGTCCAGGAACCACAAATTTAAATGTTCAACAAGTTCAAATTTTATATAGGCTTTTATGCAAATTTTGGCAAAACCAAAAAATCAAATTTGCATGAAAATACATTTTTTCCTCAATCCACGAAAATTGGTTCTCATAAAAATTTGACAAAATTGATAACTGTTATCCCTAGGTGCTGGCAACAATGTGGAATCAATGATAAATATTTGAATTAACACTTTGTCATTACTTTGGACAGGTAGTGAACTGGTTCAATACAAGCCAGATGTGTTACCAGATTTGTTTGACTTGGCCAGTCTAACGAAGGATGACGAGGATGTGATAACTAACTCATTGGGGGATGTGGGTGACATTCCTGAAATGCAAAGAACATTTACTCAACAGCATGTACCAGCTGATGATTTGGATTAAAGTGTTGATGTAACTTATTGTTGATATTTGAATTTGTTAGGGAATACTTTTGTTGAATTTGATGAAAACAATATGTACTTAGCTTTTCAACAAAATTATGTTAGTGAGTTGGAATGTATATGAATTTGATGCAATGTTTTTGGTTAGAGATGTTTTTCTTGAGAAAAATCAAATTTGATATGAATAAAACTATGTCTTTCAATAATTGCCTATGAACAAAGTTTGAAAATATTAATTTATTTCATTTGTTAAATTAAATATAGTACATAATGGCCACTATAGTTGGAGCTTTAATAAAATATTTTTTTCTATCATTTTTAAATTAAAGAGGAGATGGGCAGCAGTTGTTATGTTAAATCATTTTCAAATACATATGGCTTTGTAGCTTTATTTATTCAATCATGCACAGGGTTGAAGCCATAGATAAGTCATTGAAGTTTATAATCAATAAATGGATAAATTTTGGCCAAACAAATGATAAGTGAGTTCTAATATTGATAGGGAATTATGTGAAATTACAAGAACTATACCAAAGATCATAAGTCAGTGAATCTACATCATTTGGTCACTGGTGGAGAGCTGTCTCATTGGCAATCAAACGACATCTTATTTTTTATATAAATGCGTTTAAAAGGTTAACTCATTTTATTTGCATCAATCAGCTATACTGAATACATCTCTTGCTTTACTGTTATTTTATTTATTTCTGTTGTGATGTGTTGCCAAACCCTTTTTCTACTAATGCAGAAAAAATATATCACCATGGAAAAAGTTGATTTCTTGTAACCTTTTTCTCTTCAGGAGAAAACATTAGACACCACAGTTTAAAATGCATTGTCCTGAAATGTTAAGTTGGTTATAAGTAGTGAAGTTTTTAAAATTTGGAGAAAAGTTGGGCATCCTTGGTTATGGTAATAAAATGTTGAGGTCAGTGTTAGGAAAATGTTTCAGTGCAATTTGTCTTTTGGGACAATGTTCTTATTTGTGAGAGCTTAACATTCTGCAAATCAAAAAACATCATTTTCATTATAGATCAGTTACCCTTATCAGTTTAAACACTAATGAGTTTATTTTGTTTCTATTCATTTGGTACATTTTTATGCCCCACCTACGATAGTAGCAGGGGCATTATGTTTTCTGGTCTGCACGTCCGTCCTTCCGTTCGTCTGTCTGTCCCACTTCAGGTTAAAGTTTTTGGTCAAGTCAGGTTAAAGTTTTTGGTCAAGGTAGTTTTTGCTGAAGTTGAAGTCCAATCAACTTGAAACTTAGTACACATGTTCCCTATGATATGATCTTTCTAATTTTAGAGTTTTGACCCCAATTTCACAGTCCACTGAACATAGAAAATGATAGTGCGAATGGGTCATTTGTGTACTATGGACACATTCTTGTTTTTCTTTTGATACAGTACTCACAAAGTTACAAATTTTACTGATGTGATTTAAAATACACTAGATATTTAGGTACAGGGAAACTTGTCTGAAAAGAACCCCCAAAAAACTGAAAACCTGAATTATTAGACCCTTCGAAAAATGAAAATCTGTCAGAACTGAAAAAATGGAAACCAGTCTGAACTGAACCCCAAAAATTGAACCTGTGGAAAGCTTGTGTTAGGACAAATTGTGAATATTGTTGTAATAGTAAGTTAACCTGTCTAATCAAAACAAAATTTGCAGTCCCAAAAGGATTTGTTTCAAACAGGTAACAGTGCGTTACAGGGTTTTATTTACTGCTGTTACTTTTCTATCGGTCTGAAAGACTTTATTTGTGTGAGATATTGTTGTGTTGGGCTGTTTAGAATTTGTAGACTGTCTGACTAAAGCCAGCCCCACTATCCACTTGTGTTTGTGGATAGTGGGGCTGCCTTTAGTCAGACTGGATGTTTTGGATAAATAAACATATTTCTCTGGAGTGAATAACTTGAATGATGAAAACTGAGTGTTGCTGCTTTATAGAAATATTATACTTGTCATATCTCATTATTTGTCAAGTGAGTTTTCCCAATTTTTATTGCCTAGTTATATATATGTCATGTGACATTTTATTTGTTAATGTCTATTTTTAACATAGTCCTATAGCTCATAGGAGATAGAGGTCTCTCTTTCTCCTTTCATGTTTTGAAAAAAAGGTTGTATAAAATAGAAAAAAAACAAATAAACAAAGCTTTGTAGTGTTGAGTTTTAAGTTTGACCTTTTTGTTCTTTGTCATTTCAAGTTAAATGAATTTCTAGATTTTTCTTGTGCACTTGGTTATACATTTTTTGGTGCTAAAAGAAAGTTTTCTTTTTTTTTGAGTTCTGCAGTTGAGCATGTATCAGGAAAATAGTTATGCCCCTTTAAAAATGGAAAAATTGTTGAATTTTTCATTTCTGTTCTCTAACTTTAGTATGCCTCAACCAAATGTTAAGAAACTTATACACAATGCTTATTACCACAACATACAGATCAAGTTTGAATTTTGGTGGTGTCACTTTAACTGTTCTAGAGTTATGCCCCTTTACAAACGGAAAAATTGCTGAATTTTTCGTTTCTGTTCTCTAACTTAAATTTGTCTCAACCAAATTTTATGAAACTTATACACAATACTTATTACTTCAAAACTCAGATCAAGTACAAATTTTGGTAGTGTCACTTTTACTGTTCTTCAGTTATTTCCCTTTATAACTTAATATGATATGCAAGCGAGGGCATCATCTGTGTACCATGGATACATTCCTCATTAATTTTATCAAAAGTTGAGAAGTAATTAAGAAATTATTTTTATACGACCGCAAAAATTGAAAATTTTTTGGTCGTATATTGGTATGACGTTGGCGTCGTCGTCGTCGTCGTCGTCGTCGTCGTCCGGCGTCGTCCGAAGACACATTGGTTTTCGCACTCTAACTTTAGTTTAAGTGAATGGATCTCCATGAAATTTTACCATAAGGTTCAATACCACGAAAGGAAGGTTGGGATTGATTTTGGGGGTTATGGTACCAACAGTTAAGGAATTAGGGGCCAAAAATAAGCATTTTTCTAGTTTCATGACAATAACTTGTGGAACGGTGTATGGATCTCTCTGAAATTATACCACAAGTTTCCATACCACAAAGGGATGGTTAGGATTTGCTTTGGGGGGTTATGGCTCAAACCGTTTATGAATTAGGGGCAAAAAAGGGGGGAAAACAAGGTTGTCCTGGTTAATAGACAAATACTCCAGTACAAAACATAATTTAAAGCAGTGTAAGGGAGGTAATTCAAATACATCATTTTAATTACCTCCCTTACACTGCTTTTGAATTATGTATAAAGTAATGGTTAATGAACAATTAAGACAATTTAAAACCAGTGTAAGGGAGGTAATCCAAATACAACTTTTTGATTACCTCCCTTATACTGCTTTTGAATTATGTTTAAAGAAATGCATGTTTATAAAGGAAGACCAGTAAAAATATCTGCAAATGTTGCATCTTTTTTTTTTTACAAAAAAATCCATATGAAAGATTTGACACCATATTTTGAATTCTATTATAAAATAGATTAAGTTAGCACTATGGTAAATTTAAATGGGTAATTATGGTTGCAAACTCCATGGGAAATTTGAATTGAGATTATGACCATATCTTGAGGGAAAGAATTTTTTGGGGGGTAAAAGGGGGGGAAATTTTTTCTCATTTCAGATTTCAGAAATTAAAAAGAAAAATTCTTCAAATATTATTTTTTTTGCCAAAAAAAAGTGTGTGTGTGGGGGGGGTTAATATGTAACAGCATAGCGTATTGCACAAAAGCAAAAAAAAAGGGGGGGGGGGGGGGGGGGTAAATTTTTTATTTTTTATTGTGGGGGGAGGGGTGGGGTCAATTCGCAACACAAAGTGTATAGCACAAAAGCGTAAATTGAATATAAATTCAAATCATATAACCACTTCTAAGTTCTTTGACTACAGTTATTCTGTGTCAGAAACCTTTTATGTGTCGAAAATATTTAATTACAATCTCCAAATTCAGACCTGTATCAAGCGCGAATATTGCGTCAATTTTTGCCCCAGCTGTTCAGGGTTGGACCTCTGCGGTCGTATCCAGCTGTGCTCGGCGAAGCAATTTATTTATGACTGTTCTACTGTCATCTATTTAATCTGTCAACTTTGTACATTTTGGTTTGTCTCTGATAGTCATAGGAGAGGCCAACTATAGATATTTTAACCATTTACATCATGTATATAAGATTAACCTATTTATGAGCACTAGAAATCACAATATAAACTATGTAACAGATATGTTTTCAGATTATTTCTGAATTGTCAATTATTTCTTCAAAAAATTTAATATAGCTATAGTCTCAATTATTTTATTTCAAAACTAAATCGTCAACAAATTGTTAACACAAACTGTCTTGATATTCTTTTAACCCTGAATGGGTCAAGGTTATCAATTGCAAAATTAAATATGTAAAAAAGTATTTCAATTTTTTATGGTATCAATTTAGATTTTCAAATGCTGCTAATTATTAAACGTTTTAAAGTACTGAATGATAACAAGGTGTTTGTAGCAAACAGAAAGTTTTGTGATTTTTATCAATCGAATTAATTGTTTTATGTATTTGAACATCAGTAAAGTACAGTTGCCTGCATTTTTATTGTGAATTTTTAGATGTTTTGTACAAAGAAATCTGGATAGAATGTTGTACATGGAAACCTATACCTTAACAAATATCACTGCCAAATTAGACAACACAGAATTTATAGTACCTAGTAATATACTGTACATTACTTTTCCATATACTCAAATCTGAGCCTCTTTAATTTCATGAGTCCGAGACAATGTATAGTTATACTATTACTATTCTATTGGCTACTTTTATCTTAGTTTTACTATTTCCACAAAATCAAGTCCTTAATTCTTAATAGATAATTAATGTTAACTGAATCCTTATGGCATATTACAGGCATGTTTAGTTTAAGAATGACAAAACCACCACAAAAGATAGAAAATTGTTTAATCTACCATCAAAATCATTCTAAGACACAGTAAATTCAGATTCAAGAGATTGCTCTGGACAAATGAAAATTGTAATATTTTTCTTCAGTAAATGGCTTAAACTTTGGAACATCAAACACTTACATAGCTTTATTAATATGATATAATGAGAATAATTGATGGAAGTAGTAATTAAAAGTGATAGGCAAACTGCTGATTAATCATCAGGCAGAAAATTAATATTTTAACCCTTTGACTGCGACATATGTTAGAATGAACGTTGTTTCCTGTGAAGAATTTATATTTAACGTCGTGCAAAGGATTTTAGAAAACCTCATCAAACTGCATTTTCTTACATCATTTTGTATTATACCTTTATTTGTTTGAATTTCAAACAAACTAGATTATATGTTAGAATAAGTTTTCAAGGAATAAAAGTTTGTTATTATTCTTAAATTTGTTTGGAAAACTATCTTGCCACATAATCTAAAAAGGAACATATATGTCCCTAGCGTGGTCAAAGGGTTAAAGTAAATGTTGAGTAGTAAAGAACCAGATAATGTTGCAGTGAAAATAATCTTATTATATGTACATAGATATATTTATCAGGAAAAAATTATTGTCTGAAAATAGTGAATATAAAATGATTAAATATGAAGTATTTAATAATGGAAATAATGTTTACTAAAAGCAAGTTTATATGGCTTTGCTTTTAACTATTCATTTTGCTTTCAAAATAATAAAACTATCTGAAATCATGTGAAAAAAAAAAACTATAGACTTGGTTTCATCCTAATAGTACATCTATTGTACTCTAATCATGTCTTTGTTAGAATGGTGTATGCATGTTATGTGATATGTAATGAATGCTTTGTTATCAAATAAAACTTTAACAATTTCACCTGATTTGCTTTGTTTCCCTTCTCGAGTTTATGAAATGTTACTATTTACAGTAATAAATAATATACCAGATACAGCTATTACTATTACAGTATCTGGAAATATTGAAAAGTAGAATTGTATTTCTACTTGTTTCATTGGTCAGTTTTATACAATGGTTAAGTCATAGAAGTTGTTTTTTCAGTCTACGAAGACACTTAACTTTTGCAATGTTTAGCTCATACTATTGACATCCCTTGGTGTCCATTGTCATTATTAGAAACTTGAAAACAAATCGGCTCCTTTGAAACCATTTTACCAATTCAGTTAAATTTCACCTGATTGGTACCTTAGGGTATCTGGTATAAACAAAATTTGTTTGGCACAAAAGTTTGGTAAAATGCAAGTAATTGTCTCATATATTGAAAACTTTAACAGATGCAAAAATACTTAGATTGTGAAGATCTACCCACTTTCATTTCTATCACAGAATATTTCTAATAGGAGTGTATTTCATAGGCACTTGTCTGAATATTTTTTACCTATATACCGGTACCTTTATATAACACTGAGTCAAGTGGATGTGTTTTTTCCTTAAATGACAATTTTTTAGCATTTTACTTTCTATCATGATATCTTGAAAAGTAAAGTAGAAAGTAGATCAACAGCTGTTAACAGCTAAATTGATTAACAATTACAAATTGGCAAAAAATATCAATATGACTGAAACCATCAATTGACTCCCTATAGGAGTTATTGCCCTAAATTATTGCCTAACAGTTGTTTTTTTAGGTACTAGTATAAAGGAGAGCAATTAAGCTGAAACAAATTATATGCTATAACACATAATGAGACAAAAGGAAATAAATAGGATGTGAAAATGTGCAATCTGACTTATATTAAGATTAACAACTGTATGAAACGTTTGTCCCTTGTTTTGACCACAGGAAACAATTAGTTGGAAAAGTTTCTGAATATGTGACTGTATATTTCAACTTTCTAAAGTGTTAAAATCATTTTGATGTGATTTCTTGGGATAGATGGAGGACTGTAAAATCGTTTGTAAATAGATATAATTAATTTATGAAATTATAACAAAGACATCGAATACAAAAGAGAATATTTAATGTTCCAATTAAGGGCCCTTGTTGGACAGCATGACATTCACACAGACAAAACAATACACTGGGATTTCGTAAAACATTTTCACATTGAAATGAAAGATTGAATGTTCATATGATTATAAACCAAATATATATTTCTTTATCTCAAATAAATCATGTACATATTTGATCCAG